ATCCTGTATTTTTCTTAAAAACTTGTTTTGGACCATTTTAATGGTATGAACATATCTTTAAATGGTCACGGTGACAACTTATGGGAAGATTAAGGGCTCTAGGACTCTGCTGTCAGTGAGGCTTTTATGTAAGTGGGTCCTCTTGGATTCCATTGTGGGATGTTCACTTGAGTACGTGACAAAGAACTCATTATGTGACTATTTGCGTAGAATATTCTGTTGAAACAGAACCAAAGGACAGCTTCTTAAGGAACCTTCAGCTCAGGTGTTGCTTAAACACTGTTTCCAGTTTAAACTATCAGGATATGATACCATTGTGCTTGTTTAAGAAATGAGTAGTTTGTTTCAGTCTTACACAATATTTTGTCGGTTTCCTTAAATAAGGAAAGTGATTATTTGGTAATATCTGTTCTAGAGCTTGCGGACTTATTTTTGTGCATCTTGAGAAATTAGGAATTTTCTTTTTATTTTGCATGCTGATAAAAATTTATCCTCACTGACCAGGTGACCTTTGCTGTTTAGTGTCTCTTATCCTGCGGATACGCATGTTTCATAAAGTGACATGAGCTTAGATAAACAGTCACGTTGAAGAGTTTGAGGCTTTTCCCCTCCACGAGTGACTGTGTTAGCACTCGAGGACTCTGGGCTCCGGGTGTGCAGGCGGAAGGCAGCACGGCTTAGGGTCGCTCCGGGAGACCTGTGACCTTGCTGTGTTGCCGTCACTGTGTTCTTTCCGAGTAATGATTAGAAGCACGTTACTTCCCCCCGTGCCCCCCCCCCCCACCCCGGGTAAGAAAAAGCCTTATGTTGTGTGGTACTCTGGTCAATAAATTCAGGTTTGGACCCAAGCCTGTATTTCATAACCGTTTCTAAAAGTTGTTCCCTCCGCACGAGTCTGGAGTTTGGTATATATTTTCTCAGACTGATGTTTTGATGAGATTATTATGAGTACTTGCTAGTAAAATAATACCTGGCGTCTGAGTGTAGAGTTCCTGCTTGAGCGTCGCTGTGACCACCGGCACTGCTTCTGCTGCCCCCACGGTTTATTCTGTGCCTGGCACTGTTGCAGGCGTCCGATGTATGCGCTCTCCTAATTCTCTTAGCTCCCGAGAGCGCGGCACCGCTGTCTCACGGGCGAGGACTAGGGCACAGAGAGCTTCAGTGCTTCGCCCGAGGCCCCTTTCCCCCGCCCTGCTGTGTCACAGGGCCGGCGCTCGCAGCCGGGGTCCCGAGCCGCCTCTCCGGGGACGGCTGTGAAGCGTGCTGCGCTAGCTTTCCAGCAGTTACACAGTGAGGTGCTCAGTGAGTCGGCTGTTTGTGCGGCAGAACGACAAACATGTTGACTAGCGAAAATGGAATTATAGTTGTTGACCACCCCCCTTTTAAATCAGTCGACTTTTGTTCCGTGAACACATTTTTTACTATTTTCCTGACGCGTGGTCGGTGTACAGGGCGCGGAGGGGCTCAGTCACACACCTGGCGCAGCCCTCCGCTCGTGTTCTTCTCCGCGCTGGTTCACTGCGGACCTGACCCTGGCCGCCGTGCAGTGCGGAGGAGCTGCTGTCTGCCCGCTCTCTGTGTACACGCCCCCCTTGTGGCCTCACACTGTTTCTGTTGAGACGACATTGTGGACCCCGCTTCTGTACGTGGCGCATGGTTGCCTGCGCATCGCCTCCTGACGAGAGGGGTGACCCAGGCTGCTGCCGCCCCTCCGCTGTGGCCCCGGACGGCCTGCCCGTGCACAGTCCGTGGCGGCCACGGTGGCTCCTGTCGTGGACGCGCACCGGAGGGCGGGCCGCTGGGTGCACAGGCTGGGGCTCGGCGCTCGCTGTCCATTCATCTCCAACACCATCTCCTCCCATGAGGACGCACGGCTGTGTCGGGAGCCGCCCCGTGCCCTCCGGCCTGCGGCCGCTGCTGTCCAAGGTTCTCGTGTGTTAACCCTGTGGGTGTTGCCGTTCCTTTTACCTGCAGCCTCTCGACGTCATTCCAGGTCCACTAGTGCTCTCGCCACGGCTGACTCTGTGGGGCCGTCAGGTGAACACGTGTTCATGCATGCCTGTCTCACACTCATTGTCACACTGTTCCCATCTTATTCGCTAGCAGTTGGCATGGATACACCTCATATTTCCCCCCCGCAGTGTGCTTCTGTTTTTTTTAAGTTGTTGAATGTTTATGGTTCTGTTAATAGGCTATAGATGCTTTGTAGCTTGTTCGACGACATCATTTATCTAGTGTTCATATTGATGTTAAAACAGAAGGATGGGGAAGCACTTCCGCCCTTGCTTTCAGTCCCTCCTGCAGGAAAGCAGCAGCCCCAGATAGGTGTCCTGAGGGGTCCCTAGGAGAATTGGGGTATGGACCTCATCCAACGGAGGCTTTCATCTCCCAGTCTTTGCTCCCAGTAAAGTGGTGTCTATGAATGCCAGTTATTCCTGTCCAGTTTTCATTACTTGGAGGTACTATTTAGTGACCAGATGTTCAATTATACCATACCCCTTTTCACATGGATGGAAGGAAGTGGACTTCCCTGAAACTTCAATGGAAAAACAAGTCATGATTGCCATAATCAGGTCAGGCCAAAGGTAGCCTTTGCAGCCTGCACACCCGAAACATGCCTCAACCCCATTTTAACAACACCCAAAATGCCCTGGTTGGCCATTCGGGCAGAAAGTAAGCATTCAGTAATGTTCAGTCTGCCAGATTTAACTGGCATCATTTAGATAAACTGATAATCCCCCATGACTACAGTTTTATCAGCTGAGTACGAGGCATCATCTGTTAAATCTGACTGTTGATGGTGACACCTGTGACCAGTTTCCTGAGTCAGTGTCGCTGTTTTTTCTCTAAATGACCCACCTATGCATTTTATTATTTGTTCTTTGATTAGGACATTCCCCTAAAGATTATGGGCCAGGCTGAGGGCAGCTGTACGTATCCATCTCTTGGAAACTGAATGGTACCAGAGAGAACATAGAGCAGATTTTGGTCTGGTGGAAACAAAAGGCTTATAAATTTTCTTCACTGAAAACGTTTCCCCTTAAAATTTGAAATTGAGTTATCTATGATAAGTATCTGCAGTCACTGTGTGTGGCGAAGCTATACACGTCTGAGAAGCACAGAATAATTGCTTTGTTCTTATGGTTTTAATTTTGTGTCTGAAGAATCACTGTTATCCCTGGAGCAAGGTTTGCTGGCATGAGATCTATTTTTTTTTTAATTAAGATTATGTTTTATTTAAGTTTATGCTGGGTAATTTCTAAATGGCTTATAACTGGATTACTTTCATTCTGTTACTCATAAATCCCTTACTATCTACCCTTTTTTAATGAAAAATGAGAAAGACTTGAACAATGATCATTTATAAAACGGCATCATAAATCTCAAATTTCTAATTGTTTCATATTTGAACTGATAATTTATATTATAGAGAGATATAATTGATTTTATACAGCATGTTATCACCTTTTAAACATACACATAATGATGAAATTCAGTATAATCAACAAATGCATTAAAAAAGGGGATAGTATAACATGCAATTTTTGTTTCTCTATAAAAATTCATAATTGTATAACTTTTGATTAGTAGTTAAATTTTTTCTCCCATTCTGTGGCAGTGGAAGATATGTTTCAAAACTGACAATTTTAAAAAGCTAAATAACACATCACTTTTAAAGTTCACCAGTTTGTAGCTGATGTCTTGTTACCTATCCAAATTTGAAATATATCATTTTATAGGAAAGATCAATTATGTAAGACAGACTTTAGCTTTCTTTTTCCCTCCCCCACCAAATGCCTTCATTATTAGAGTATACCACATACGGAGATTTTCCTTGTCCAAACAGTGTCTTATTTGTTAAAGTGGTTTTAATCTTAACATTTTAAATGAGAATCATTTACTGGATTGCTTTATCTTGAGCTGCCACAGCGGTGAGCAGCAGGGACTCACAAGGGCAGTGAGTTCTGAGTAATCTGTGTCCCAATAAAGCCCTGTTCTGGAGTGAAACTACCAGTATAATTTACACGGACTTTCTCCTGCATTGTTTTAACCTCAGCCTTTCTGAAGGAAGGCTGGACAGTTCATGGAAAGGGATTTCTAAAAGTTAGTCTTTTTGAATTCAGTGCTTTCACTGCCAGAGGTGCGGATTCCTTCTCTGGTCAGGGAACTAAGATCCTGCAAGCCTCATGGAATGGCCAAAGAAAAAAGTCTTTATTGTCCATGATCGTTAATAAGCTTATAGTAGTTGTTTGAACCACTAAAATTGGAAAATTTTTTTGCATTCTGTTCATTTTGTTCACACATATAAAGATTATCATTTAAAAATCCTTTGAGGGACTTCAGAAAAAATTTATATGATCTGAATGATTAATGTTTTTCAGTGAAGATACTAGCTTTTGTGGTGAAGATTAAAGAATTTTAATACATTGATTTTTAAATAACCTTTGGTGACACAGGCATCATGATGAACAGATACCTAAAATTAATTGAGCTTAATAACAAACAGTAGTGACAGTAATGAAAATATGCACAGAGATCAGTGTAATACATTGGATTCAAATTTTGTCTGTTTATCACATATTGCATTAAAACTCATTTATCAAACCATGGAGCTTTCTAATTAGTTTGACCAAATATCAGGGCTTCTTTTGCCTCTAGAGAGAATGCTAAATAAATGAAAAGGCTCAACTCATGGCCCAGTTCCCTTCTGTGATAAGTTCCCTTCTCCAGCCTATATCTCAGCACTTTTCCAAAATAAAATATCCTTAAAGAACCAGTTCAGTTGTCAGGATGCAACCATGTTAAATGTGAACATTGTAACCTCTGCCACTGGTAAACAAGTCAAATGTAGTTGAAACTACAAGCCAACTGCAGTAAAAACTGGCTAGAGATTTTTCAGTGTTTCTCTCCAATAAGTGGGATGAGGCAAGGGCCATTGCAAAGAAATGAAAACATTTGTATTAAAATGACATGTATTTTTGCTTTTGTTTTTGACCTAGACCGCTTTGGGCTCGGCCAGGCAGGAAGGATTCCTGGTTCTGTGAACGCCATGCGGGTTCTGAGCACCAGCACAGATCTGGAAGCTGCTGTCGCTGACGCTTTGGTAAGAGGCCCCATGTGTGTGAGTCTCTTTGAATTACCGACCTACATTTTTCTCTGTCTTCACAGGAAGTGGCCTCCAAAGCAGGTCACTAAGTCTTCTTGGATACTCTTTTAGCTCATGTAAATATCGGGTAAATTTAGACTATTATTCGTTTCTCCGTAAACTTTTGACTCTGTACGTAAGTGAAGACTGGCCTTTCGAGACGCATTAGCGTCAAGAGTGTCTCCTCTGCTCCTCGGTAACAGAGGTTCGGATGGCATCAGGCTTGTCTGATGTCATTGGGCTTCTTCCTTTCCTTTTTTATCCATTTTTTTTTCAGCATTTCCTTTTTGCCCCTTCTTCTGCTTCTCTTGCCTTACAGGCTTTGATGGCATAGCCTGAGCACATCATTGTATAATAGGAGGTCACAGACTTTATGGTTTGAAACTCTTGCATTTATTCCATTACCATCACTAGTTGTTCCGTGTGATTTTTATGTTTACTTGTTTGAATGAGTCCTTAAGTCATTATTTACAGAAACATTCCCAGATTTTAAGATGAACTCTGAGGATATGAAGCACTAGTGGAGTATGTTTTTTTCTTGCATTGTTATAATGTAATATTTAAAATAGCAATATAAAGTGATTAGAGGTCCTTAAATTTGTGCTTCTAGCAAAAAGTTCCTGAGTAGAATCAGCTTGTGGTCAAATTGCCTTTTAAAGATGCATTTCTGCTGGTAGTAACACAGCCTCTTGTTTCTTCTGGTTTATGTGCTCAGCATTTAAAATAGACATGCTTTAGAGAACTGTCTGGTCTCTGGTCTTACTTGTACTGTTTTAAGAGAAAAACATTATAATACCCTGCTTTCAGACCCTGAGATTTTAAATCCAGCCCTGTTTTCATTGGACCAAAACTTTACAGTGTGTGGCTTCAGGGATTCTACCTCGCATCCCTCGGGCCCGCCCTCATTTACTCTTGCTCAGCCAGGTTTCTCTGACAAACATCTGTGAGCAAGCAGTCTTCCAGTCTCCTAGTGCTTTCCTGATGAGGGCTGGCCCAGCAGGTACTGGAGTTCAGGATAATTGCTTTAAGTAGGACTTCCAAGAGTCACAAGTTGGAGAGCTGATGTAGCGATTTTCCTTCCAAGTTGCAGCATTTGAAATTTGTTTCTTACCTGTTCTGGGACTGTAAGAAGTGGGAACCAGTGGGGTGAGAAGTGATGGATGTGCAAAGTGCTTGGTGAGGCAGCACTTCGGGTGGGGTGGGGGGAGGGGGGAGGGCGTGTCCCCTCAGTCCTTGAAGGTCTGCCCCAGGGACACGGCACAAAGCGCCGTGGCAGAGCGGGACTCCAGAGTCTGGGCTTTGCCTTTGCCTGGCTTGGGCTTTTCTCGAGCTCTGGCTCTCCTTACACTCGCGCGGCCCTTACGACATTTTGTTCAGACCTCTTGGTCTCTCCCCATGACCTGCTTCAGAAGCCAATGCCAGGACGGTACTCAGTCCCTGCCTCACAGAAAGGAAGTCCCGGGACAGAAGCTCTCCTAGGAGCAGACGACAGAGTTACTAGTGACATTTGGGATGTGCCTCAGTGGTGTGGGGAGAGTTTCAGCCAAGAATTAGAGCAGATACTGCAAGGTCTTGTAAGAGAGGTGCAAGAGGGTTAGGAAATGCCATTGTGAAAGCATTCTTTGTTATTCGCTTGATATGAATTGCTTGCTAACCTGTATTTTTGGTTTGCTAATATATGTTTTGCTGTACACTTTTGTTGCAAGAACAATCCCCACATATGCTTCTGACATAATTCTCTATGCTTTTTCCCCATCCTTCAATATTTTCCTGCCTACAGCTGTTAGGAGACTCCAGGAGCAAGGTACCAGTGCTTTCACTTTTGTTTTATAACTTTCTTTTTTTTCTGTTGTGAGTATATTTCCTTTAGGAGCTGGTAAAAGCAACAAAAACGTAGCCTAGTGTAGAAGTTTCTGTTCTGAACTGTGATTTTGTGGAAACTAGTGGTGCTTCTGCTAGTGATAGAACTGGTCATGTCTCACATGTGTTTGAGCATTGTTTTCCAACATCAAGTTCTGCCCCTTATCCTACTAGTGTTTCATTTTACTAACCTAGGTTTTGTCTATTACATTGTTATTATTTCATGAGTGGGTACATTCAGCTTTTTCTTATCTTAGGAATCTAGTTCATGTATAAGTGAGATGGCAGTATAATTATCATCCTAACAAGGATACTTTTGAGCTTGAGGGAGGGTGCCATTAATAATTATGTGGGGACAGAAGGTGGAAGGCAGAGCTGTCCCAGGTAAGTTGTGATGTGTGTACAAGCCACATTCCTAGGAAGTTACATAGGTGCAGTTTAAGCCCGTAGCTATTTGTTTTTCTCTTAGAGAAATTAAATTTTATCTGTTTTGTATAGTTCTTGCTATCTAATTTTGGGATTAAACTTAATAGTTTTATATTCAGGATAAGAGATATGAAGTGGGTATTCTAGTCTAAGGAGGCCTATTAGTGTTGTAAAACTGTTAAGTCCTTAATAAAAATGGCATAGGTCTTTTGAGAATCCTTTTATATAGGACACTACACCACTGACATTGCAGTGTCAGATGCTCTTAAGGGAGTGTGAATTTTCAAACAAATTTACTAGACCATGCTGAAGACAGGTTGACTTTGGTTGGGAGAGGGCGGTGGGTTCACAGACTCCGTGTGTCAGGTGCTGAGCTAGGCTGTTGAGCGTGTGATTCCACTCAGTCCTGAAAACAGGCCTGTGAGAAGGGTGATCAGTATTATCTCAGGGATGGGGACCCTGAAGCGGAAAGGCGAGGAGGCTTTCTGAAGTCACTTGGCGGGCCCATGTTGCTGAGAGCACTAAAGATGGCGCTCCTCCGTCCGCCGTGGGTTGCTCTGCTTACTCCTCAGTGCCCACCGGAAGTCTGCTGTTGTGTTTCCGTTTCCCTCACCTGTGAGCAGAGGGAAGGTGTGGGTGCGTGTGTGTCTGTGTGTGAGTCCTCGCTGTTGGCTGTGCGTGCTAAGGCTCATGTTGCCTCTCCGTCTCTCCCCCACCCCCTCGGGCCTGGCAGAAGAAGCCCGTGAGGAGGCGCTACGAACCCTACGGCATGTACTCTGACGACGACGCCAACAGCGACGCCTCCAGCGTCTGCTCCGAGCGCTCCTACGGCTCCCGCAACGGGGGCGTCCCCCACTACCTGCGCCAGACCGAGGACGTGGCCGAGGTGCTCAACCACTGCGCCAGCTCCAACTGGTCCGAGAGGAAGGAAGGGCTTCTGGGTCTGCAGAACCTGCTCAAGAGCCAGAGGACGCTGAGGTAGGACGCGAGGCCGGGTTCAGAGGACGCTGAGGTAGGACGGGAGGCCGGGTTCCTGCAGACGGAGCCCCGTGTTGCACGCGTGAGGGCCTGACACGGATGCGTGGCCATTTATGGGGCGGGCCCGAGAGAGGCCAGGATGGCTCGGGTGTGGTCTGTGCCTTCCAGGGGACGTAAATACCGGGCAGACACTCATAGCTCATTAGGTCTAGGAAGCATTTGGTTCAGCATGGCTCAGACTTGTCTACTAGGTGTTTTGGGAAAACTCAGAACAGTTTGTGGTTTAGGTAAAACATAAAAACAACTCTGAAGTTAGTACCGTTTATTTACACTTCAGAGGCATGGATGAAGATGCCAGTCTCAGTCCAAAATGTTTGCATGTGCACATGCATATGTGTGGTTTTTATAAATATGCAGAGTAGAGACACTCAGATGGAGACTCCCAGGTAGCCCAGCATTGTCTCTAGAATTGGTGATGTTTGCTTTTGTTTTTGTTTCTGTATTTCATTGATTTTCTAAAATAAGCATGTATTACCTACACCAAAAACACATTTATACCATATTTCATCAGATCTAAGGTACCATTGACACACCATTATTTTATATCTAAGAAGAAATAAATACTTCTTATAAAACCATGACAGTACTGATATGTCATTGATTGCAGGGTGAATCTCATGGTTCCAGAGATGTTTGAAGTATAGTCTGTTACATTCTTTCAGTAATTTTTTTAAGCAATACTGTGAGACTAGTAAAGTGTTTCAGTTCATGGATGGCTCTGGGAAACCTTGTGAGCATGGACTGAGGAGTCACTGGGCTTCAAGCATAGCCATCTGTAGTCAGTGCGACCCCCACCGTATTGCTTCCTGCCACCTTAACTCCCTGCCGCCCTTTATTCATTCCACTCTCTGCATGCCCGTGCCTGCTGAAGTGTAGGTCACCTCTGGTGGTCTGGTGATCTGTCAGAAAACAAAAACAATGAAATGTCATCATTCTCCAATACTCTCCTTAATTCTGGTGGCCCCGGTTTCTTGGTTCTTAGTGTTCTCCAAGTATCCATTGAATAAGCTCTAGCAGTCTATTGATTAGCACTGGCCTGGTCTGGATTTCACGGTTAGCGATGTTAAAAGGACCATTGGATCTGAGAGGGGATGGGATGGGGGAGAAGATAACACTTTCTAATCAAACTTTGAAGTACAGACGGGGTTCGGTAGTGCAGTTCCGGGTGAGAACTGTCACAGGGGCGCTGATGGGAGGCGAGTGTGTGCTTTACTTAGGCCGCGTAGCAGGTAGGTAGTCAGCAGCAGTTTGTTGTGCTGAAGTGGGTATAAAGATATCACAGTACTTTGACTGTAACAGAACTGAGACTAAAATCCAGGTCTGTCTGAGCCCGCTGCACATGCTTTTCTGAACGGATCTGACTACCTTTCCTCTGTCGCATGTGGGAATGAAGTGAGCAGGGTTTGGCGCCTGGCTTTGCCATCTGTGCATGCGTGTAAACTTGTGTGATCACACTCTGAGATTCAGTTTCACTTTAGAACAAGACCAGAATTGGTGTGATTTCTCACTCCTGTGTAATTCCGTCAAATTAAAATTTAGATAATTCATTTGCAGAAAAAAAGGTATTACATAAAAATTATATAAAGCATGTTAAACGAAATAAAAGGATTTAGAGAAGCTGTAACTACTTTCAGTGTTGACTCAGTTAAATACTAAATTTATTGTATTTTATTTCCTAGTCGAGTAGAATTGAAACGATTGTGTGAGATTTTCACCCGAATGTTTGCTGACCCTCACAGCAAGGTAAGGTCTGAGTAGCTGCCCACTCGTGTCCCCTCCGCATGTCTTTGTCTATAATACACTTCTTCAGACTGGCAGACCCGCCCCACCGTGCGGTGCAGACCTCCCTGACTTATTTTGGCAGGACTTGATGTTATATCTTTTAAAGACAGAAGGCTTAGAAACTTCTCTTGTCCATAGACTGTCACTAAGTAAAGTGCATTTCAAGTAAGGGTTACCTTGGAGAGAATCAGATGGAGTCTTCTATTCACTCAGTGAACAGTTTTGCATACTTCATGGAAGTACATAGGCTGGATGCTACGATGTAACAGTGTATTATAATGCTTTTTTAGAAAGTTACAGTAGTGAAGAAAATAAGTATATAAATTGTTTTTTTGGTACCCATGTAGAATTTGCCTATATAGGACAAGATAGAAAAATGATAGCATATATAGAATGGATTGACTAAAACGCCACATCAAGTATTTCTCCAAGTAGATTGCCACTTCTAAGAATTTGCTGGATGGTGGCCACCCAGCTGGTGCACATGACTCTGCGGGGCCTGAGGTTGGCCTTTTGACAAGGGCTCCCTGCTGAGTACCCCAGAGTGAGAGACAAGCTATTTCTAGGAGTGGAGCTTGAGAGCAAGACCCTTGACAAAAGTTTACTTGAAGTCCAGATTTTAAATAAAAACCAGTATTTGGGAAGAAGCCTTTGAAGGTGTTAGATGGTTTTAGAGAAAGAAAACAGAGGAGTGAAGATACCAGGAAAGTTAAAGGGTGGATAAAGGACCAAAACAACCATCAGTTCAGTTCAGTTGCTCAGTCATGTCCGACTCTTTGCGACCCCATGGACCACAGCAAGCCAGGCCTCCCTTTCCATCACCAACTCCCGGAGTTTACCCAAACTCATGTCCATCGAGTCAGTGATGCCATCCAACCATCTCATCCTCTGTCATCCCCTTCTCTACCTGCCCTCAATCTTACCCAGCATCAGGGTCTTTTCAAATGAGTCAGCTTCACATCAGGTGGCCAAAGTATTGGAGTTTCAGCATCAGTCCTTCCAATGAACACTCAGGACTGATCTCCTTTAGGATGAACTGGTTGGACCTCCTTGCAGTCCAAGGGACTCTCAAGAGTCTTTTCCAACACCACAGTTGAAAAGCATCAATTCTTCGGTGCTCAGCTTTCTTTATAGTCCAACTCTCACATCCTAACATGACTACTGGAAAAACCATAGCTTTGACTAGATGGACCTTTGTTGGCAAAGTAATGTGTCTGCTTTTTAATATGCTGTCTAGGTTGGTCATAACTTGCCTTCCAAGGAGTAAGCGTCTTTTAATTTCATGGCTTCAGTCACCATCTGCACTGATTTTGGAGCCCCAAAAAATAAAGTGTGACTCTGTTTCCACTGTTTCCCCATCTAATTGCCATGAAGTGATGGGACCAGATGCCATGATCTTAGTTTTCTGAATGTTGCGATTTAAGCCAACTTTTTCACTCTCCTCTTTCACTTTCATCAAGAGGCTCTTCAGTTATCTTTGCTTTCTGCCATAAGAGTCGTGTCATCTGCATATCTGAGGTTATTGATATTTCTCCTGGCAGTCTGATTCCAGCTTGTGCTTCATCCAGCCCAGCGTTTCTCATGATGTACTCTGCATATAAGTTAAATAAGCAGGATGATAATATACAGCCTTGATGTACTCCCTTCCTGATTTGGAACCAGTCTGCTGTTCCAAGTCCAGTTCTAACTGTTGCTTCCTGACCTGCATACAGATTTCTCATGAGGCAGGTCAGGTGGTCTGGTATTCCCATCTCTTACAGAATTCTCCACAGTTCATTGTGATCCACATAATTAAAGGCTTTGTCATAGTCAGTAAAGCAGAAATAGATGTTTTTCTGAAACTCTTGCTTTTTCGATGATCAGCAGATGTTGGCAGTTTGATCTCTGGTTCCTCTGCCTTTTCTAAAACCAGCTTGAACATCTGGAAGTTCACGGTTCATCTATTTGTAAGGCCTCCTCAGACAGCCATTTTGCTTTTTTGCATTTCTTTTTCTTGGGGATGGTCTTGATCCCTGTCTCCTGTACAATGTCAGGAGTACAATGTACAATGTACTCTGTCCATAGTTCATCAGGCACTCTTGTCTATCAGATCTAATCCCTTAAACCTATTTGTCACTTCTACTGTATAATCATAAGGGATTTGATTTAGGTAATACCTGAATAGTCTAGTGGTTTTCCCCACTTTCTTCAATTTAAGTCTGAATTTGGCAATAAGGAATTCATGATCTGAGCCAGTCAGCTCCTGGTCTTGTTTTTGCTGACTGTATAGAGCTTCTCCATCTTTGGCTGTAAAGAATATAATCAATCTGATTTTGGCATTGGTCATCTGGTGATGTCCACGTGTAGAGTCTTCTGTAGTGTTGTTGGAAGAGGGTGTTTGCTATGACCAGTGTTTTCTCTTGGCAAAACTCTGTTAGCCTTTGCCTTGCTTCATTCTGTACTCCAAGGCCAAATTTGCCTGTTATTCCAGGTGTTTCTTGACTTCCTACTTTTGCATTCCCGTCCCCTATAATGAAAAGGACATCTTTTTTGGGTGTTAGTTCTAAAAGGTCTTGTAGGTCTTCATAGAATCGTTCAACTTCCATAGAAATTCAGAAAACCTAAAATCAACACAAGCAAATCTTAAAATACTTGATGCACAAGATTTAACCATCTTACAGTATCGTTTTCCTAGTAAAAATGGTCTCTTCTCAGTCCTACCGGGGGAAGGAAACCTGTCATGGCCAGAAGCCTAGCCAGTTATCTTCTCCCTTCTTTTCCTGCCCTTTCCTCCTTGTAGAAATTGACCATGAAATGTCCGTAATCCAGCTGCCTGTGCTATCGTTCAGCACTTGCTGAGCACCCCCTCTGGGCTCGGGGTACAGAAAACAACATCACACCCCTCCCTTGCTTCTGAGATGCTCACAGGAGCAGGGGGGAGTGAACGCAGGGATTCTCCTTTTTTTGCCGGGGGGCAGCAATTCTCCTCAGTATTGGTCTTGAAACATGTCTTAAAAATCCTGTTTTGACCCTCCCAACCAGATTAACATTCACAATATTAATAAAATCCAAGAAGCATTGATTTTAAAGGTCACATAGATGTTCAAAAATAAAATTATCAAGATTTTCTCTAAGATAATATTAAGAGCGGTAAGATTTAAAGCATAAGACTCCTAAGATGTATGACATAAGGGATATTAGGTGGATTTGGACATTGATGAAATTTCTATTACCTGTCACCTCTAGATTGCTGATTCAGAACATGAGGATAAAGAAAGAAATTTGTTTTCATCAGAAGGCTCTTGTACAGTGAGTTTGGAGGTCTCAGCTTAGTCGATATTTGCTAGCTGCCTTAGTGCTAAGCCAGGAGTCCCGCAGCTGGGACTCACTGACTTCTCTCTGAGCTGTCTCCCGAGAGACCCCTGGTGGTTAATAGTTCCTGCGCTATGACTAAGTAAGTCTATGATAGCTGGTTTGTCCCAGCAGGGCACAACCCATTAACCAAATAGGTACACGCTGCTACCATTTACCTCACTGAAGTTGGTTCAGGGGTAAGCCACTGTGAACTTCGTCTCACAGGAGGCAGCAGTGATGATCGCACTGTGGTGTGAGAATTATGTCAGCCATCAGTCCCTTTTATTCGAAGCCGTACTCTTTTATAAATATTAGTATAACTTTTATAATATTTTTTATAAAGATAACACTTTGTAATATTTGAGTTGGCATACATCAAAATAGATGATGGAAATGAAAAGCAATAGGTATGCAAGTTTTTTTTCCTTATCCTATAGTAATAGGTGTTGAATGCTAGATAATGAAATAAATATAATGGTTAAAAGGGTTTTTTTTTTTTTAATATTTTATTTTTTTTTTTTTTTTCCATTTATTTTTATTAGTTGGAGGCTAATTACTTTACATCATTGCAGTGGTTTTTGTCATACATTGAAATGAATTAGCCATGGATTTACATGTATTCACCATCCCAGTCCCCCCTCCCACAAGGGTTTTTTAAAGAGAAAGAGAAGGAAGTAAGGAAGGCAGGCTCGCCTCCAGGATTAGATCATACTTTTCAACTAAGTTAATTTCTCTCTCTACTGGATTTTAAAGGCATGTAGTGGGAGGGGAGAGGATTTTGTCGTAGCCCTTTTCAGGCCTTTTAGGAAACTGCATGAAAATGATGTGACTTCACTGTGGACTAACATGAAATCTGTTTCGTTGCATGGCCTGGTTTGCGGTGGAATTCACAACAGAGAGTAAGTTCCAACCCCTTTTCCTTTCTCTCTTTTCTGTGCTACATTTGCCTTTTATACCCTGTCCAGTTGTTCACATTGTCACCCAAGTTGTGAGTCTGGGCAAAGGCCAGTTGGGCATTTTCACGTTTTGAAGACTTGGGAGGAAATTGTGAATTAAACCTGTGAAATATTTGGTTTCCCTTTGTGTCTAGGTTTTCAGTATGTTTTTGGAGACTCTTGTGGATTTCATAATAATTCATAAGGATGACTTGCAAGACTGGCTTTTTGTTCTTCTCACACAATTGCTGAAGAAAATGGGAGCGGATTTACTTGGATCTGTGCAAGCAAAAGTTCAGAAGGCTCTTGATGTCACAAGGCAAGTGTTTGGGGCAAGATCATGTTCTCCCAGCTTTTGCTATATAATTGACATACAGCATCCTCTAAGTTTTAAGTGTACAGCATGAGGATTTGATACATGGGTATATTGCTAAATGATTAGTACAGTGTTAATATTTATATCCTTCACCTCACTTAATTACTATTTTTTGTTGCATATGTGGTAAAAACAGTTAAGATACATTCTCTTAACAAGTGTATGATACAGTATCATTACCTATCATCACCATGCTATACGTTTGACCCCCAGAACTTATTCATGTCGTAACTGTAACTGGAAGCCTGTGCCTTTTGACCAGTACTCCCCATCTCCTCTACCCCTCAGCTCTGGCAACCACCATTCTACTCTCTGTTTCTATGGATTTGACTTTTTTTTTTTTTTATTCTTTAGATGAGTGTTATCATATAGTATTTGTCTTTCTCTGACTTATTTCAAATAGCATAATACCCTCAAGTTTCATCCATGTGGTCACAAATGGCATAACTTCCTTCTTTTTTATGACGAAATAATATTGTTTATATACACACCACATTTTCCTTATCCATTCATCCATCAACACACTTAGGTGGTTTTCATGTCTTGGTAATTGTGAATGGTGCTGCAGGTCAGATGGCTGTCTCTCTTTTTGTTTTTTGGCCAGGCAGTGTGGCTTGTGGGATCTCAGTTTCCTGATTGGAAATTGAACATTGGATCAGAGCAGTGAAAGCCCAGAATCCTAACAGTTAGGCTACCAGGGAACTCCCTAGTTTTAGTTTTTTTGAGAAACCTCCATACTGTTTTCCACAGTAGCTACACCAATTTACCTTTCCATCAGCATTTATTATCTCCTGTCTCTTTGATAATAGCCATTCTAACAAGTGTGAGACATACTTCATTGTAGTTTTTCTTTGCGTTTTTCTAATAATTAGTAATGTTGAGCACTTTTTTGTGTACCTGTTGGCCATTTGTATGTCATCTTTGGAAAAATGTCTGTTGGGCTGGGGAGGAGGGAACGAGACCATATTGATATTAGGAGACCCTTTGTAGATGGTTTCTAGTCACTCTGTTACCTGTAGTTTTTGTCACCCACTTGAATACCTTCCTTCTTACTTAATTACCCACATTCTCTTGTTAGCATATTGAAATATCCCAACAATCCATGAGATGAAATACTTACATCTTTGAGTTGGCATTATTTTGGTGACTGCCTAAGACGTCCACCCTCCGTTTGCTGTGGACAAAGGGGGAGGTGTTCTGTGTGCTATTTCTTTGATGTGTAGCCAGTGCGAGTCACGTAAATCATGTATACTAAGTATGCTTTGCCTCCAGAAGTCCTCAGGGCCTCCTGGATACAGATAGTTGTAGGAGAAAAGGATGTGCTATTGGATCGTTTACTTTTTATTAATCATTATAATGATGGTATTACTAAGACTTAGTGTGTACCATACACTTTGTATTTTTCTTGTATCATTTTATTTAAATTTCACATCAGTCCTGTGATTTTATAGATGTGACCCTACATCCCTTTTATTTTCACTATGCTTTTGTACAGTGAGAAAAGTCCCTTAAAGGGAGTCTGAAGAGAGCAATACAGACACTCAGCCTCAGTACGTGTTTCTGTTGCATCATCTTTCCTATTACCGTGGAAGGCATGTCTGCATCAGGAACAAGGGGTCTGACCCTTTGGGCAGTTTAAAGTCATGAGGGCAGTTTTTAAGGAAGAGCGCGCCTGACTGTCATTCTCCAAGAGCCCTCAGGGCTCCTCAGTCGGATCACAAATACGAGATGATGACAGGACACAGAATCAACCCCTAGTGAGACTGGAGCCGGGGCGGGGCTCTTAGGGCCAGGCTGCGGTGTCTGTCCGTCTGTCTGTTGCTGGTGGGGCTCTTGGGGCCAGGCTGCGGTGTCTGTCTGTCTGTCTGTCTGGGGCGGGGTTCTTAGGGCCAGGCTGTGGTGTCTGTCTGTCTGTCTGGGGCGGGGCTCTTAGGGCCACAGGCTGCAGTGTCTGTCTGTCTGGGGCGGGACTCTTAGGGCCAGGCTGCGGTGTCTGTCTGTCTTGTCTGTCACTGGCGGGGATGTGTCTGGTGAGTGTGCCAGGCAGTCCTCTGTGCTGACTGACGCACACAGTTGGCTGTTACCCAGCAAAGACCTCCGGGGATGGACAGTGCAGGCAGCCTCGTCAGGGTGTGAAAGGTAGGCTTGGGCGTTGGAGCTCTTTCTTGTGTGAGCAGTATTCCAAAAGGTACCTGGAGAAGAAGGTAAATCCCAAGGAGGCAAGGAAGCGTTTCTTCCTTAGTTCATTGCTTAGTTTATGTGTTTGGGGACTTCTAAGATTTCTCTTTTTCTAACTTTTCTGTGTTATGTGTATTACTTTCAGTATTTATTATATAAAATGAAAAATAATGTTTAAAAAAAGTAAACAGACTTGCTTTTTACATGTGTTAATCTGTTTTTTTTGTGTGTTAATCTGTTTTTTTGTTATATGATTTTACATTACTTTTTGTAAGAAATCTTTCTTTTAAAATACTTTCTTCTTTTTATAAACCTAGGGACTCCTTTCCATTTGATCAACAATTTAACATTTTGATGCGATTTATTGTGGATCAGACTCAAACTCCTAACCTCAAGGTCGGTAACTGTTTGTCATTATAGTTAACCTCTAGAAGTCAAATTTGCTTAACCTATACTTTTTTAGACATGACTCATATTTGGCTGTTATTAGTAAATCTGCTATGAGCAACGTGTGCCCATTTCTCTTGGTTCAGTACCTAGTGCTGGCCTACTTGGTAAGGACATGCTTCACTTTATTTCAGACTGCTGAAATAGCTGTACCATATTATATTCCGGCCAGCAGTATCTGAGAACTCCCAATTATTTCACATCCTCACCAACATTGGCGTGTTATTACTGTTTCACAGTTAATGTTCAAAACTAGGAAACTTGGATGTATTGAAATAGCTCTCTTATTAGAATGTTTTTAATATTAACATTATAACACATGTAAATTAGCTGTTAGATGTTTTGTAATGTAAAAAACGTAAGAACAAGACTGATAGTATTTGAAGGAGGATGTATTCCTTTGAATCAGATTGGGTACACTCTCTGTTCTTTGATCACCAGCTTCTGTCAAGGTTTTAGGAGAGGCCTAATAAATCATAGCCTATTTCTCCTGAGGTCAAAGCCAAGTGAGACATCAGTGGAGAAGTTAGGGCAGAACATCACCCTGATTGCCTTCAGTGCTGCCTTGCAAGACCTGGCCTAGAGTGGCTAAAAATCAAAACGCTGAGTTGTTCATGCCCACTCTGTCAGAGTGGGGGCAGAGCTGGGGGGCCCCTCGGCACCCCCAAATGGACTCTTGCTCAGCAAGTGACCTGGGGCGTCAGAGGATCAGGGCCTGCTTCTCTGCAGGGCCCCCTTCCTGTCCCAGACTTCCGGGTCAGTCATCTATGCTTTTTCCCGGCTGAAGGCTCCCCGTGTCGGAACATAAGTCCAGATCGCGTGTACTTTTGTCTGAGCACCAATAAGAGTTCTGTTCAAAAATGTGTAAAGTGTACTTACTGTTTGTAATTACTGGCTCTTTCAGGTCAAAGTTGCAATCCTGAAGTACATTGAGTCTCTCGCCAGGCAGATGGACCCAACAGATTTCGTAAACTCTAGTGAGACAAGGCTTGCTGTTTCTAGAATTATAACCTGGACAACAGAACCAAAGAGTTCAGACGTGAGAAAGGTATGTCCCAGAGCGCCAGGCACAGCTTTAATCACAGCCTGTTCTTAGGTGTGAATTAGAGGAATTTATGGGAATGTGCAAACCACCTCCATACTTACATGAAACCTCTCTTTCCTTTTCTGCGAAACCAAGACTTTGCTCCTATCCCTATGTTCTCTGTCCAGTACCGCCTCCTTCCAGTCTTGGCACATCAAAATGAAAACCTGAAATCTTGTGTCATGGGAGGCACCTTGATACCACCATGTTGTATTGTTCCTTTTATTTTAATCCACTAAAGATAAATACTTGAAATGGCACATTGAGAGGCACGTAATGCAGTTAAGGGGAGCACAGGATGTTAGCATTTCTATTCCTAGGTAGTAGTCTGCCTCAGAACTACTATGAAGATGAATTCACACATGTTGAAAGTGTGATCAGTTCCTGACACGTGATAAGCACACAGGAAGTGTGAGTTGTCACTGTGTTTATTGTTTTTGTTCTCTTCCTGTCAGTGTCCTGTTCTACGTTTGAGTTTCACACATGGCCATTATTCTTTTACTTTATATGTAAACTAAATAGCCTTTAAAAATTACTTTTAAGTCAGATTTCTCAGTTCTGCTTTTAGACTAAAAGTATTTGATTTTGATTATTTGTGTATAATCATGAACCTTGCATTCCCCCCCTCTCCATAGTATACTTCCTTCATAGCCAATTCCATAGCCAAAATAGTCCTTTGGCCTTGGGATAGAATTGATAATGTGGACCACTTAGGTCAAGGCAGGAGTAAGGATGATTCTAAGCAGTGTTAGCAAGATTGTTTTGCACCTGAACACCTACCTGCTTAGCACCTTCCTCCTGGAGTCCACGGAGGAGAATCAAAGAATCACCCGTAATGTTTCTTTGGGAGAATTACAGCCTATGTAATTCTCCAGCCATTATATAGTATTAATAGTAAACTAAGTTCTCCAAGCTTAAAGAAACAAGGATGAATTTTATTAATATTATTCTGATATTAAATAATATTTTAAATTTTTTATCCTTTTGTAAAATTTTTCAGTGTTTGTCAAAAGAGCATTTCACTGGCAGCCTTTAGCTATGAAGCCTCTTTGGGATTGGAGGGGTACAGCGGGAGGTAGTAGAATGATCTGGCCGATTTGAAAGTCTTCAGAATCACAGATCAACCAGTAGACACAAAAGCCTTCCTGTGTTTAGTCATAGCGAGTAAATATGTGTGTGTCTGTGTGAGTTTGTGTTCAATAATTGAGTGTTACTCAAGTGTTCCCTCCTGTGAGGCTGAAGGATACTTAATACTTGCGTGTTATTATGATTAGGGCCTTTATGGGAACAGTTGACTGTGGTCATGATGTCTGCTTTCTCTGGACATGCACATTAAAAATTGGAACTAGGATTTATTGTCCTAAGTTTTGTAATCAGGACACTAGAGAAATGTTTATAAGTTATCCAGCCTGGGACATCAAAACACTCAAGTGACTTTAATACTATGTTCAGTCGCTTGAGTTGTGTCCAACTCTTTGCAGCCATATGGACTGTAGCACATCAGGCTCCTCTGTCCGTGAGATTGTCCAGGCAAGAATACTGGAGTGGGTTGCCGTGCCCTCCTCCAGGGGATCTTCCCAACCCAGGGGTTGAGCCCACATCTCTTTAAATCTCCTGCATTGGCAGGCGTGTTCTTGCCCACTTTAAAATACTAGCTTAAGTCAATTATGGTTAGGATGTGTAACGCTGAGATCACGTAACGTATTTACTGTTTGATCTTCAGCACCTCATTGCTGTTGTTTTGGGTCATACTGTGCAAAAGCTATTCTGTACTGGCATTCCAGCTCCACGTCTGCCCTTCCACCTCCCCTCCCCCGTAATGAGGACTGCTAAAGCACCTCGTCTTCAGGCCGAGCTCAAACCTGGGCTCCGGGACAGTAACCCAGGGCTTCAGAGGAAGTTGAAAAGCTTTTTTTTTGTCAGTAGTTCTCAGCCCTGGCTGCAGTAAAAACCAGTCTCAGTCCTGTGCTCTCCCCAAAGTCACTTGACTTAATTGGTACAAAGTGGAGCATGGACGTTGTTTTGTCTGGTTGGAGTTCCTTCCATGCGTGGCTGATTTTTAGTGCACAGTGTTAATAAGAATTAACACTTATTTAATAACTGTAGCACTTTAATAAGCAGCCCCTTATTTTAGACCACTTCCCCTAGGATTGACCCTCAGACACATGGACTGCTGATGTGGTCTTGACCTGTTGCTGCTGGTTTTCACAGGACCCCAGCTAGGTCCTCCTCATCTTTAGGACCAGACCTGTTCTTGCAGTTCCCCGCACCTCCCCCACCTCCCTACTTATGCCCAGCACCTAGAATGATACCTATAGGAACAAAGTAAGCATTTTAAGAAGTATTTTAAATGAATTAATGAATAATAAGTACCCAAAGAGAAATGGTCTAATTTCAGGTAGCATTTTGAGGTCACCATTTTCAAAACCACAGGCTTGGAAGTTCTTCTCCTTTGGCTTCTGTATTAGTTTCATATTGCATAACCTATTACCGCAGACTTAGCTGATTGAAACTACAAAAATTTATAATCTCACAATTCTGTGGGTTAGAAGTCTGGCCCATGTTCTCTGGATTTTCTACTTAGAGTCTTCCCAGACAGAAATCAAGATGTTGCCTGGGTCTTTAGTCTCACTTGAGAATATGCTTCTCTTCCAACTCCATGGTTCTTGGCCTGTCATTTCATTACTGGTGAGGGCGGTGGTACCTGTCTCTTTGCCCGCTGTCAGCAGGGGGCGGTCACGGCTCATGGAGGCCACCCCCACACCTGGCCTGGCAGTTTGCTTCTGCACAGCCAGCAGGAGAAGACATAGTGTCCTAAGATTTCCTGAATTTTATGAAAAACATTAATCTGCACATCTAAGAAGCTCAACCAAATCCAAGTAAACTTTAAAAAAAAGAAAAAAAGATTCACACCTAGACATAATCAAACTGCTGAAAATGAAACAGATGCTCCTGGGAGCAGCCCAGGGAAGCAGCTCAGCATAGCCTGGATCCTCAGGAAGACAAACAGCTGCTTTCTCACCCGAAATCCTGGAGAACAGAGGCATCCTGTTGACTTTAATGGTGCTGAAAGCAAAGAAAAGTCAACTAAGAATTCTCTGTTCAACAAAATTATTCTTGAAGAACAAAAGATAAATTACAAAGAAGCCAGCAGGAGATTCTCATGTTAATCTCTGTGACTGCTTGCAGTGGCTCACCTGATTAGGTCAGATCCACTGAGGATAATCTGCTCTTTAACCAAAAATCAACTGATTAGGGAGGGACTAATTGTACCTGCAAAATCCCTTCTTCCTTGTAACGTAATTGTGGGAATGGTGTTCATCACTCACCTTAGGAGAGGGGACTGTGCAGCGCTTACTCACCAGGAGGCTGGAATCTTGGGGTCCACCTTAGTGTTGTGCCACCCAAGCCTTTGGTCTCCTCTTCAGTGGGTTGGCGTGAATCTTCCATGGTTAGTTGTTTGGTAATTCCTTAGCTCTTACTTAAATAGGGCACTTTTTTACCTAAACACACATTTGTGTTGGGGTTCAGTTTAGCAGATGCATCTCTGCTTTTTAATCATCCAAGATATATGTGGAATAGATTGTTTGGCTTTAAGTTGTATCCATCCAGCCCTTGCTAGTAAAGCGCTGTTACTTGATTTAAATAGGCTTGTTAAAGCACAATATTCAAATGTGTGTTCTTTTGCCCCATAGCTGCCTCTCACAAACTGCATTAAGGCACTGCAGATTAATCCTTCCTGGAGTTAGAGCTACTTCTGTTTAAATGCTCTCTTTTGATGTTCCATCCACTGCATATTTCATACAGATATAGAGGCTGTTGTAAGTGATCCAGCTGCCTTATCCAAGAACTTGAGATGTATTTGAAAGATTGTCTAAGTGAATGTCGTGCCTAAATAAGTTAAAACACTTAGAAATTGTGATATGGTATATATCACTGTATGCTAAGATAAGAATTGTCATTATTATTTTAAAGCTATAAGAAAGAAAACGGGCACCATTTTTATCTGGATAATTTAATGCTCTAAAGATATGCTTACTTATCTCTTTTAAGTAGAAGTATGTTTTGACTCACCCATCATTTACAGAATGTATCAAGTACTAGGAGGACATCTTGGTGATTTAAAAGCACTTTCTGATTATAAGCCAAGTTCTCCTGTTGGTGTTCTGATTTAATTTCCTAAGAGTAGAGTGAGGTGTTACCTTCTAAATACTAAAGCACCCTACAGTCTGAAATCAGTGCAGTAAACTCTCATATTGGCAATATCATCAGACTATTAATTTTATACAACCAATACTTGGGAAGTTTGCAGATGGTGTAACTTGTTCTCTGCATCTCGTATTTGGGAAAGTACATTAGAACCAGTGTAAGCTGATGCAACTCTGCTTTACTGCCTTAAGCATTTTTAACATTTTGTTTTCCCTTTTATGTCAGTGTTCTGGGGTGTTCCATATTGGAGAGAGATGGGTGTTTATTTAAGATGTTAAGAAGGGAAGAAGCACAAGCCTGTCACCATCGAGGTGTGCTTCCCTGGCCAAGACTGACCTGGACTCGGTGGGAGACCCTACCCAGACTCTTAACTGGCCTGCTTTATTCCTGAAGTTACTGTTTCCGTTTTTTAACTCTTGAGAGTCCTGATAGTTGTGTTGACCAAACTATACAGAGATACACTAGACCTTTCTTAATGCACTGTGTTTTTATTAAGATAATACAATATATTCACAGAAGAAAGTAGATTCTAGAGTTTGACCTCTGTTGACTTCTGCCTATGCTGCTTTTTAGAGGCTTTTTAGCCTCTGAATTCTTGTTTAAAATCCATAAGATAGGAATAATGATACTTGCTTTAGTCACTGTTGGGAGGACCAGTTACAATAGAGCATATAAAAATCTAGATAAACACTGCTTTGTTTTTGTAGTTGAAGCTGTCACTGTTTGAGGGCTGCTTTGTTTTGCTGCCGCCTCAGGAATGCAGTAATGGCAGTAGAAGTTCTGATGGCACGTTTATATTTTCAGGCTCAGAATCCCTGTGTGTTTCCTTATGTGACTCTAGCATTGAGCACTGGTTTTGTCCAATGAACTCACAGGTTTGGCCCCCAAAGGTTGTTTTGAGAAATGCAGGGAATAATGGCATATGACACAGAAAACTAAAAATGATGAAGATGCAGTTGGTGGATCAGGAGAAGCATATAAACAGCTTTCGAAAGCTGGCATTGCTAATTGAAAAAAATGTGAGTCTCTGATTACAGGTGGGCAGCTGTCCTTATCTAAAAGCTTAGAGTTTTCATACCATCGAATGAGATTTGAATCCTGGCTTCATTGTGACTGCCTTGCTCCAGTCTCACTTCAGTCTCTGCAAGAGCCCTGCTTCCAGGAGGGGTTGTTATTCTGAAGGACTTGGGGGATGGTTGAGGTTTAAAACCGGTAGTTACTGATGTTATTCTTAAGAACCCTGTTACTGTTCCATTGCTGTTTGTAGACTTTTAGATTGTACAGTCTCTCTCTCTCATATACATACACACACATGACTTAGAAACTAAGCCAGACACTTGGACGCTTACCAGTAACCGTGGCTTTGAGTGTGCGCTTCTTGCCTCTGATGAAACCCTGCCCCTCTGTGTCTGTCCATCCTGCTTCAGCATAGTCGAGTAGGGGAAGACTTACCCATAAGGGCGGCCTCGACCTGCTCTGGGCCTGGAGGAGGAAACTTGGAAGAAAACTGTAAACAGGTAGATTTGAAATTGTGTACTAATCTGCAAAAAGACACATCACTGTTTGCATTTAGATTATTAATCTTGATTACACTTGCGAAGACACTGAGAAGATTTTGGAAAAATCTAAAGTTAACATAATACTATGTAAGAAAGAATATATGTGTGTGCGCGCATGTGTGCACGTGCCTGTATAAGTATTGTGTTTTGGTGTGTTTTATAATTAATTGTCTTCCCAAAGAAACAGCCATATTGCAGACAGACTTCTACCATAGTTTAACACAACAGCAAAGCAGAGGTGCTGAATTTAAAATGTCGGAAGGTTTTGAAATACCTTCTCTTTGGTGATTTTTCTAAAGCAGTTTTAATCACACTCTGAAGGGAGCAGTAATGGATGTTTAATTAATTAGAAAACTCCCTTTCCTCTCAAATTTTAAGTTTCCCTAATTAATGCCAACACTGAAGCATTTGTCAAAGTTTTACTGATCTCTTCTCTGGAAGAATCCTTTGCTGTGAGGTGTAAGCCGTTGATAACCCTGCAGCTTCTTTTCAGACAACTAGCAGTAGGATTTGGAGACCCTTTTACCTTCACCATCTAAGTTCTCCTGTGGGGGCCATTTCCTTTTACGTCACCATGTGATCTTTAAGACACGTGGCCCCAAGAATTGCCTGTTAGAAAACAGCAGCAGCAGCGTTTCTGGTCTGGCTTCTTAATGGCCCTTCCTCTCATGGGGCAAGGGCTCCGAGATGGAACAGGCACAGCGGTGACACCCTCTGCCTTTTGCCTCATTCTTGATCATGAGCTCTGGCCCAGGCTGTTTAAAATAAGTTTCCCCACAGACTTCTCCAGGCCAGAGTACTGGAGTGGGTACCCTTTCCCTTCTCCAGGGGATCTTCCCAACCCAGGGATCAAACCCAGGTCTCCTGCTTTGCGGGCAGATTCTTAACCAACTGAGCTGTCAGGGAAGCCCCAAATTTCTCCATCCCATCCCCATGTTTGTTATTATTCCTGCAATGAGGAGCATATTGATGGTGATGATAAATATAACCCAGTTTTTATCCTTGCCTGAGTATTCTGGTATTCCGACTCCTTACTGATACAGAGTTAGTTGTAGGTAAAATATTTTAGAATCATAACAGTCTCATTTCTTTTAGAACTTTGATGTGAAATCTTTTTAAAATAACATATTTAAATGATACTTTCTGTCCATTTCTGGAGCATGGATCCCAGAAAAAAAAGATTTTACTTTGAAAACAGCTTTAAGCCAAAAGGTTACTTTTGAAAACTGTAGGAAATCATTTACAATTTATATTTTGAAAAGTGCAAAAATAAATTATATTCATTTTATGTGTATAAAACCATATACCATCTCTTCAACGAATTATTTTCAGAATTCCCCGTCTTTCCATTTGATTTCTCATGAAAATTCACCTTTAGGTTATTGAGGGAAGGCTCTTCAGTGGGTAGAAGTTGAAGTCTGCTGTACTTTCTTTTCCCATATGACAGAAGGCACTCATTTTAAGTAGCCATGAATTAGCACAATTTTTAGGCCTGTCACCTTGCAGCCCTCTTTTTACTAAAAGACCCCACCAGTTTCATAATTTGCTTTGTGAAAAACTCCAAATAAGTTTTATCTTGTCATTTTGGGGAGAGATTAGGTCTAAAGACAGTGAGTGGCCCATTCCATGTAAAAACATACTATTAAAAAAATGTAATGATGCATTTTATAGTTTTCTAATGCCATTTGCAGTCAATTAAAAAAATGTGCCTAAACTTTCTTAATTAAATTGGTGATCTTGACTTTTCCCTGCCAAAACTCAAGTCTGCTTCTTTGCTTCTCTTTGAAGTGCAGTGTTTTCTGCATGCATTTTTTTCCTAACATCAGTAAGACTTTTTTACATGCACAGGTAACTTTGCATGATTTGGGGAATTTGCGTTTATACAAATCATATAAACAGTACATTAAGTTGATGGTGAAATGGAATTCTTCAGATAATGGTTTATTAAAACTGTTTCAGTAATGCAGAAATGTTTATTTCAATTCAGTCAATAATATTTTTTGCCTGTGTCACAAAAAATCACTGGCCCTTACAATTTAATTTTAATGGAAAGGATATAAAGGACCATGTTTCGAAGTCAAGAGAAGTAAGATGCTTTTGCCCAGTGCTGTGTTTAAAGACATTATAAAATAAAATTTTCAATTGTGTAAAAAATGTTATTCTACTGATTTGTAATTTTTAATTTTGATTAAATGCATATGGGTATTTGGATTTTTTTTTTCCTTCTCCAGGCACAAAATAGTAGTTTTGTCTTAACTGGACCTAAAATTAATTTTAACATTATAAAATCATTGAAATTTTTTTTGGTGTTTATTTGCAAAAAATTTCTCAGCAGTCATGTTTTTATGTAATATTCTGTATAGTGGAAAAATACTTAGAATGATTGCTTCAAGCCTAAATATTACAATCTTTAGAAATATAAATTATTAAAAGATTTTCATAAAGCGTTTTCCATTCTTTTGACTCTTAGAAAATTCTTAGAAATGCCAGTTAGTACTTCCTAAAGTTTTCTTTTGGCATAGTTTTTCCAGGTCAAAACCCTTGCGACTAATTCCACAGGCATTAAGCTAGTAGCAGACTCGTAACCCACTGGGGTGGCCTTCCGCAGGCATGAAGCTAGTAGCAGACGCGTAACCCACTGGGGTGGCCCTCCGCAGGCATGAAGCTAGTAGCAGACGCGTAACCCACTGGGGTGGCCTTCCGCAGGCATGAAGCCAGTAGCAGATGCGTAACCTCCTGAGTTGGCCTTCCGCAGGCGTTAAGCTAGTAGCAGATGCGTAACCCACTGGGGTGGCCATCCGCAGGCATGAAGCTAGTAGCAGACGCGTAACCCACTGGGGTGGCCTTCCGCAGGCATGAAGCCAGTAGCAGATGCGTAACCTCTTGAGTTGGCCTTCCGCAGGCGTTAAGCTAGTAGCAGACGCGTAACCCACTGGGGTGGCCAGGGTCCACTTGGCTGCTGTCGCTCTAGCCGCTTGCCCTTCCTCACAGGGCTGCTAGCAACAATGAGTCATCCTGCACGTGTTGTCTCTAGTAAAGAAAAGTAGAACAGTTTCCAAAAGGCAGAGGAGTCACTCTGGTTTGCTCTGGAGAGACTGTCTCTGTCCTCAATGCACAGATGTAAAAGTAGTTTTTCAGATGTACCTGAACTCTCTTTTTTTCTAGTTTTTCTTAGTCACTGAGAAAAGTAGTTTTTTATAAGACAAAGCAATGGAGGCTTGTTTAGAAACTTGTTCTTTGCAAGGTATACTGGGAGCCTCATCTGATTCTGACTTATTAGGGTGAACAGTCTTAAGCCTTTTCAGATTTTTTGATTGTTTAACCCTAGTCCTGGAAACAGAGAAGTTGCAGGAGTTTATTGTTAACATACTGTGGAAATCTGAGGCCAGTGTGTTCAGTGAAAACAGGGATTATTTTCCATATCAAAATTAGGCTATTTATAATTGATTACCATCAATTATAGTGTTTTCTCTAGGTGCTTTTTTCTTTTCTTTCCTTTTTGTGTGTGGCACAAATGTTATTATTTACTCATACAAAACAGTTTTCTTTTAAAAACAATTTTAGAACTTCCCTGATGGTCCAGTGGTTAGGACTGAGAGCTTTTGCTGCCAAGGATCTAGATTCAGTCCCTGGTTGGGGAACTATTATAAGATCCTGCAAGTCATGTGGCTTGGCCAAAATAAATAAACAATTTTAATGAGCATTTTGACCAAGATAGGCAATTGCGCGTAACACAAATTAATCATCTCTTCTGTTTCTAGGCAGCACAAATTGTGCTCATCTCTCTGTTTGAATTGAACACTCCTGAATTTACCATGTTACTTGGTGCCTTGCCAAAAACATTCCAGGATGGTGCCACCAAACTCCTGCACAACCACCTCAAGAATTCCAGTAACACCAATGTGGTGAGTGCTGTGGTTGCAGTTGGTAGCCGCCACTCACTCCGCATCTAGAGCCTGCTCTAATGGAGCAGCCAGTTTTCCTGTTCTCTCGCAGTAGATCGTGGGCATCCAGAGTGTGGGGGCCGTGTCTGATCCTGCTGTACTCCCAGTGAATGAATCTGGTGTTTACATGCGGCCTTTCTCTCTAGTCAGGTTGTTTAGTTAACGTCTATGAAGCCATTCGGGCAGTTATTGAGGAACTTAGTTTTTTTCACTCTGTAAAGATGCAAATGCTGAATTGTGTCTGTTACTCTAGCAGAGCCGACAGCAGTCACTCACTTCTGGATTGCCTATGGGCAGTGACTGATTTTCGGCTCTTATGCACTTAAAAAATGAACTTACTATTCCCCAAAAAAAATCATCTTGATTATTCAAAATCTGCCCATTTATTTACATGTGGGTTCCAAGGCCGGGGCAGAGTGGAACTGTGTTCTATATTTATCTCCTGTGTGACAGAGCTCTTCTGCCTTCACCCAGGGCTCTCCAAGCAACACCATTGGTCGGACTCCCTCCCGACACCCCAGCAGCCGGACCAGCCCCCTGACCTCACCCACCAACTGCTCCCATGGTGGCCTGTCTCCAAGGTAAAGCCATTTCGACAGCAGTGAAGGCACTAGGGCACCCCCGTGTCTCTTCTAGCTAATTTCCAGGTTTTAGACTGAGCTTAGTACCAAGAGGTGTGTGGGTACTGCGGGCCCACAAGTCCTAGTCTTCGCCCAAATCTTAACTGTGTGATTTTGGGCAGAGTGGTTAACTTCTGTGGCAAAATGAGCAGTTTCTGCTGAATGGTCTCTGAGAATTCTTCTAGCTCTAAACACTTTCTAGTACCTTAAAAATTTTAAAACCAAAAGTAATATTTAGTCCTGTTTAACATAGAAACTCTTTAGCTGTTGTGTGAGCAATAGCAGCACATGAAGATATTTGACCATCTAAATAAAACTCTTTATAATTGTCCACACAGAGTCTGTCTGGGGTGGTTTCCAGCCAAGTGGCTGTTCCAAGCATGGTGGCTCTCATTCTAGACTCATAGCTGGAGCAGAGTGCTGCTCTGAGGCGGGGTTGAGAGCCTGAGAACTAAAAATGGATCAACATTTTCAGACTCCTGTTGGGGCCATGTGAAACATTAGCCTTACGGAGTCTGTGGCCGTGACTTGAGAAGATACTTGGCCTCGAGATCTGTAGATAATGTTTCCATCTGACCAGAGCCTTTAGAAGTCTCCGTGTGATGGCTCTCGAGACCCCCTGGGCTGTGCTGACGTTTCTCATGGTCTCATTCACGGTGACCCTGTAGGCTGCAATTTTTAGGAAAGAGCCAGTACCTGGATGTGGAAGGGTCATGCATGTGTATTTGTTTCAAGACATTAGGACTCTGGGTTGCTGACGCCAGGATCTTAAAATTAGAGGAAAATCTTACAAGTATGCCATCCCCCTTTAAGAGTGACCTCTTTAGTTGGAAGATAACACTAGGGATGTGCCTGTAAGATTAGGTTTTTCTAATGCTCGAGAGTCTTCCAAACTCTGCTGTGCTTACTGCTGCAGTCCTGTTCAGCTACTCAAGTTATCGTATAAATATTTTAGAAAATGTCAGATTTGTCTTTTTCTCTTGGAGAAGCGAAATATTTTGTATACTTATAGTATCTCAGTGTTTGTATTGCCTAAGGTCCCCCGGTGCTGTATGTAGGTAGACTGATGTAACACTGTGTCTCCAGATTTGGTCTGTGTGGTCATGATTGCAGCAGGCCAATCTAATTAGACAGTTGAGACCAGAAAGTAATGAAAACGTGTCTGACTTTTCCCACGTGTGACTGAGACTCAGCCAACTTTTTATCTGTATCTAAATAAATGGTCTGTCTTAAATGACCCCAGTGTTGGCAGTAAATGTCATAGAATTCTCTCCCTTGGTAGGAGAGAATTTGTGGAAAACTTGTATTCTCTATAAATTGTTGCTATTGTTTAGAAGTGATACTTCTGAAACATTGACAAATCTGTTCTTCCATAATACACAGTTCTTATTTATTTTTTAGTTATTTCACAATAAGGTTGCACGTTCTTCAGGTAATAAAGGGTAAATTTCAGATTAAGTATTTGTTATTATATGTGCCGATAATTTAAGTGAAAGACTGGGGAGGCTGCTAGTATAAGCCATGAGAGCTAAGAATTAGCTAGGTATTTTTAAACTTATGGATCTCCAAATTATTTTAAAATTCTAATTTATTTTTCCAGGTCACCATTCATTCTTAACTAGCCTGATCTAAATTTTTACTGTTAGGGTTATCAGGTGAGTGTAAGAAATAAGTTTTTTTTTTTTTTTTTCAGTTTTTTTTTTCAGTCCAAGTGAGGCTGAAATATTTTCTTACCAACAAATTGTTCTTTAAGAAATTACTTAGTTATGTAGTTTCTTTCTTTCTTTTTAAACAGAATATGCCCCAGCCAGTGTGTAACTAGCCAGAATGGCCTGAGCCAACTTGAACTCAATGGGAAAAATAATTTTTCTCACAGCTAAAACTGTCCAGAAGTAGAAAAAGCTACCTCATGTTATCATATCATAGGAAATATTCAAATACGCTGCATTCTTTCTACCAGGAAATTTATTAAAGAAATGAACTCTTGCACTAATTAGGACAATGTATTAGGTCACCACATTTTAAGTAGGCAGTGGACAAATTCCACCAGATATAAATCTCGGTTATTTTTTTGAGTAGTGCTCTTGATACATGTATTTTTCTCTTCTGCTATTCTTTTGAATTATCTTGACCATTTGATGTTAGTTTTTTTTTATTAAAGGGAAGAGTTCTTCCCAGTTCTTCATTTTTAAGCCAATTTTGAGTATCAAAATGAACTATTTTTTTTTTGAAGTCCAAAAGTTCTACCCTCAGATTATGATGCTAATAAGAAGATAGTCTAACATGCTGACACGTTTGAGTTTTTGTTTTTTTCTTTTTAATTGCTAGTGAGAAAGGCATTTTTATCAACCTGGTAACATTAGAGAAGCCACAGCTGACAGGTCAACCTTCTGTGGAAATTCCATCCAACGGTTGTCCTTTTCTGTGAGAAGGAAGAATTATTGTTTATTCCCTGTGAGCAAACAGACACTCCTGGGTCTTTAGAGAGAAGACTTATGGTCTCAAGTGTTCCATAATTAAATATATGTTTACATTTTAGCTCAATTTAGTGGGATTGATGTTAAATGAAAAACAGATTTGCTGGGGGCTTCAGCAACTATGTGACGTCTGTTCCCTTTAAAATAGAAAAAGTATGCGGCTGTCCTCACCTGAGGACAGGTCTGCGCGCTCAGGGAACATACCTTCGGATGCTAAGTAGGTAATATCTGGTAGCCAGCAACAAGAGGTAATTTTAGGCAGATTTTACACTCACCCCATCAGATGATCAGGAGCGTGCACCAACTCAACGCGGGGATCAGCCTGGAGACCCCCCCCACGTTGTGGTGCTGGCGCCTCTGCTCAGTAGAACCTGTGGGCAGAGGTCCCGCTCAAAGTGGTTGTCCGTGTCCTCCTGTGTCCCCGAGGCAGCGTGTGGCCTGGAGGGCCCTTCTGTGCTGCAGTAGCCGCTCCGTCCGCACCTTGGTTTCCCTGTGACACGCGGGGCCGCCACTGTCCTCAGCCAGAGACGAGCCTTGGACCACTGCTCCTGAGCTGTGGGAAGGGCCAGGGCGGGTGTGCTGCTCTGTAAGAACGCTGCGCTCGTCCTGTGGCCCCTGCCCTGTGGCCGCCTCTCAGGCCTGCAGGCAGCTCGGTTTACACCCTTCCCATGTTCCTGGTCTAGTGAATTGCAGCAGATGCTGGAACTCAGGCGGGGCCTCTGCATGCCCCGGTCACTTGAGTGAGGAGTGCCTGCGCTCAGATGCACTTTAAACTTCGCATCAGGTCACACGAGCAGGGGACTTGGGTTTTCTATCCCTCCTGTCTGAGCTGTTCTCTCGGGAGGAAGTTACTCGTGGCACCTCTGGACCCCATCTGAGGGTCTCATTGGGGGAGCATGTTGTTCCCTGCCTGAGTGTTCTGGTGGGTGGTACCTTCTCTGAGACTTTCTGCTGTGGTTCCCTTGGTCCCATTTGATTTGGGCCCATAATTCCTCTTTGGGTTTCTTCTAAAATAATTTATTGCATTATCTGAAAGTACACATCTGTGTTTTTTTTTTTTGCATGTAAGCACTTAAAATTTCCTTTACACACACACACACACACACACACACACACACACACACACACACACTCACTCCCTCCCTCCTATATACTTGGAATCTCGTGTGATTTAAAAATGTAAATACAGGACTGAGTGGGGAAGGCATGAGCAGTCTTGATGGAGGACCAAACTGTAGAATAAGGTTGGTCCTTTTCCTCTGAATGGTGAAGTGTGAACTTGGGTAGAACCTTGTCCAAAAGCGATGAGACTGCAGGGCGTGCAGAGTATAGTGCCTCCCGCCCCCTTTGCCTGTTCTGTGTCTCTTTCTGACTCTCCTCTTCTGATCACTGCAGTCGGTTGTGGGGTTGCAGTGCCGATGGGCTGTCGAGGCACCCACCTCCCTTTCCTCAGCCTAACTCCATCCCCACCGCTCCCTCCCACAAGACTCTCAGGCGCTCTTACTCTCCCAGGTAACAAGCCACCTGTCCCACTTGTCTGAGGTGTCACAATATTATTGCACTTCCAAGGTCGTCTCAGGTCTCTGGGGAAGCCTCTCCGCCGCCTCCGGCCGAGACCAGCAGGGTAGAGCCTTGGTGAGAAGTGTGAGCAGGTGCGTGACCTCCGTCAGACCTCATGAGGATGGCTCCTACTTTGCCCCTAGGGCGAGGAACAGGTGCGTCACCTGACCACACTGTTCAGCGTCTTCACTGGTGAGCCCTCGGCCCCGGGCAGTGCTCAGCCTCCTAGAGGTGCCTGCACCACGCAGCGGCGCGCTGTGCCCCCAGCCGGCTGCACGGGCCTGCTCCTTCCCGTGTTGCACCTGGGGCCTCGGTCCTGCTCAGTGGTGAGGGCTGATGTCTTTCCTGCTGTACTGCATGTGGTAATAGTCTGAAGACTGAGATCCAGAAAGGCAGCCCCAAGAATCGCTCCCTGTTACAGCTCATTAAAGGGGCTGCTCCAAGCGGGAGAGCAGTGGGGCCCCACAGGCTGCCAGTGGGATGCGATAGATCAGATGAGGAATCCATGGTGTGAAGGGAGGGTCCATGTATTCCTGCAGGTACCTGTTTGAGGGTATCTTAGGTGCTTTTTATAAAGATCGAATGATCAGAGAATCCCTTCCCTGTTGGCTCCTGATAACGTGAGCAGAGTACAGGGCAGCCTGCTTCCTCTGTGCTATGTGAGATGAGTCTTGCCTCTGTGACAGGACAGGGTTAAGACAAAACAGAAAAGAGATATGTTACTTTCGAATGCCTTGGAGATTGCACAGAAGACTTATATTCTTACCTTTATATGCTCAGCATAGTGAACAAGTAAACAAGTCAGCTAAATATTTTGATAGCATTTTCCTTTTGAAACTCTCGCAGCTCTGAAAGTAGTTCCTAAAGTGTGCAGATGCTCCTGTGATGACGTGTAGATGCCCAGGGGTGGGCAGGGGCGTGTGGACGGGAGGCAGCTGCAGCCCTCAGTGCAAACAAAGCAGTCACTGCGGTTTGTTAAAGGCTGGTCCTGCCTCGGAGTGTGAGACCAGCTTATTGATTGTCTCCCAGTGTACTGACCTGTGTGCCCTACTGGGCTCCACGCTTCACCCCCCAGGCAGTCAGTCTTCCCATCTAGCCGTGAAGCCTGCCCTCCAGAGGACATCTGTTCCTGAATCACCTTTCACACTTGGGTACACAAACAAGTACCCAGTGCTTTAGCTAATGCTTCATAAATGGCTATCGCTTCTGTTAACGTTGGAGGGAGTGAGAGTGGACCAGAGACATTGACCCTTAGAAAATCTATCTGTTACGTAAAACCAAGAAAGAGGAAATCTGTCTGTCTCTTTGCCAAAACCCTGTTGATGTCATGAACAGAAACAGTTATCCTTATTCCATACCAAGTATGTCTTTCCTACTCATGACAAAGAAGAACATCTCAGAAGGCACACTTCTGTCCCAGTTTCTCTTTTCCTGGCGACTCAATCTCATGTACCCCGCCCCCACCTACGCTCTGCATCCTTCTCAGCAGGGTGAATCCAAGACTTCATTCTGCCTGGGTATCGAGTGCCCTGGCCAGACCTCGGGTCAGTGAGTGCTGACCGATTGAGCAACTTTTCCTAATCTAAAGAACCCTATGAAAATCTCTCTGGAGTCTAATCACAGTGTTTATGGATGACTCAGACCTGGCCTTTGACCGAAGGGATTATACCTCCAAGCTGAAACAGGACAGAGTGTGGGGGCAGGTGGCAGATTGGGGGTTGACTCCCCAGTGTTTTCTGAGAAAAGCTGCTGCAGCCCTCTTGCTGTCCCCATACATGGACCACTTGTAGGGATCATACCACCTGTGATTCCCTGATGACAGCATCCACAGGGGCTTCCTTCTTCCCCACGTAGTAAGGGCTTGTGGGTATTGACTTGAAAAAACACAATTGCCAGAACATGAAATGGCAAGGAAAGCAGCCGTATCTGTTTCCCTTCAGAGGGAAATAATCCTGTCTCTCACCTGGAGCTCACAGTTTCCGCTTCATACCAAGGAGATACTTCAAAGCTCAAGCTAGTGAGTCTAAAAGAAGTGTCACCGCAGATTGTACTTGGCTGTGCCCAGGTTCTCCTAAATTGGAAGTCTGAGTTGGTTTATTAATTGAAAGTAAGAATGAGGACCATTAACTGGCAGAACCCTTTATTTTCATATTTAAAAAAGAGGCTACTATCATGCTAAAGTTATATGACTGAAATGAATTATTTTTAAGGAAGTTCAAGTTAAAAATAATGGGGTGAACTACGTGAAAGCCAACATCTTCTGAAGCGACATGGAGAATAATATTGTGACATCCCTTAAAACCTGAACGTTCCCCAGACTTCCTCCTGTCCATCCCCGCATTCTTCCCATGTTTTTTCCTTTTGCATGGGCTGTGTTATTCTTTTTGATTGTTGTTGTTAAAAGTATTTTAAGGCATCTTTTGACATCTTATATACATATTTTTTTGTTTTAAGTCATATTCAGTCTTTATTTATAAAACAGAGTACTGGTCAGATGTATAAATGCCTTTGCTCACACATAAGCTAGTGTTGTGGTGTTTGTGGAGGGGTGGATGGTGTCAGGGAGGCCCTGTGGCCTCCTTCCCATTAAAGCGACATTGCCTTAGATAACCTTATGAACTAGAAGGGGTTGAAATCTTCAATTCTGTTCAAGTTTTTGATTCCACCTCCTGTCCGTGTGCACATGGAGTCTTAACTTTAAGCGTGTTGAAGGTCACATTGCTTTCTGTTTGATGCCAGGGCCAGTCTTTGAGTTGGCGCGTGCTGTGACCTCTCCAAGTGCAGTTAGGGTGTTTTCTTTCATTCATCAGAAAAGAAGGATACATTCTCCCTGGGCCAGAAGGTTGCAAAGACAGTAAATTCATCTCAGAGAGTGAATTCAGATCTCGTGCTCGCAGGACCCATCCAGTCTTAGAAACCACTCGGGTCATGACAACTTCCAGGCAGTAAAGGTCTGGCTAATTCACGTGAGAACCGTCCAAGTGTCGCTCATCTGCCCAAACCTTGGACAGCAGCAGCAGCAGCAAAGAAGTGTGCGTGAGGGGAAGGTTGGTAACATGACTGGTGCTTAAGTTACAGGGAACTTTCCTCCTCACAGAATGTACAAGTCTGGCTGTATTGCTCTTGGGGGAGGAGTGGTTCCCGCCAGTGGATGACTGGTTTCAGTTATTTCTCTTCTGAAGAACAGAGAGACTGCTGTTCTTTAGTCCTTAGTAATGAATGCCGTTGAATGCTTACTTACATACAGCCAAGGCTTCTCTTTGGCCTTTCCTTGTGGCTCAGCTGGTAAAGAATCCGCCTGCAATGCGGAAGACCTGGGTTCAATCCCTGGCTTGGGAAGGATCCCCTGGAGAAGGGAAAGGCTACCCACTCCGATATTCTGGCCTGGAGAATTCCATGGACATAGTCCATGGGGTCGCAAAGAGTTGGACACAACTGAACGACTTTCACTTTCAAGGATTCTTTTAACGTCTCTGGCAATTCTCAGTTATAACTCAAGACTTTCTGCAAATTAAATTAGACCAACTCATCCGATCTTTTCTTGAATGCTTTCTTGGGACAAGTGGTGTTTAAGTAGCAGTTTTTCAGCTTGGCCCCCCCCCCCCCCAGTTGCTCTCAGGGAGGGAAGGTGATGGTTTTGCTCTTGGAATCGTCCATCTGTCTCAGTGTGCTCTGCGAACATCTAAAGAGCACTCTGTTGTATGTTGCATCATACCAGGGGGGTTTTGCCTTGGTCTGTGTTTTGCTAGATGTCTCACTGGACAACAGCTGATGTCACTTTTCTGTACGGGACAGATATTTCTTGCTTTTTGAAGTGCTTTTAGATGTTCATCTGGAAGTGTGACTCATCTTTGTAAGATCTGCTTTGCTGTAAAACTCCCTGTGTCTGCATCTAGAAGAGTCTGGTTGTGCAAGCAAATTCCTGGGTTAGATGGCAGGGTGTCAGGAGCGCAATGGTGGATCTGACTTTGAGTCATTCTGTACTCTGGGGTTTCATTTTTACAGGTTTCAGATACTGGTAAGCAAAATCCAGGCTTATACAGTCATGTGCTTCCCTCCTTTAAAATTTGTCTGTAACACTAGTTTTCTTTTCATTTATTTGTACATTTGAGACCAGTAACAACCAAACTACTTCTTTCCATCTTCAAGGTATGAAAGTTATTTTTCCACATCCATTTCCTCATGCATCATCACTGGTTGTCACTCTCTGAGTTCTTGCTTTCTCATGGTTTGCTGTTTTCCCAGTGCACTGGCTCTTACTGAGTGCTCATGTCGTGTGTCTGGGGCCAGATCCGACGAGGAAGATGTGTAATTAAGTTGTCTGGTGGTGGTGCTCTAACAAAAGATGTCTTCTTATCATTCCAAATCACCTAAAGAAACTATAATTACATCTTATTCTGTAAATTATTAGAAGTAATTTTTACCCATACCCCAATTTTACGTGTGTGCCTCAATTTAAGAAATAAAATGTTTTTGATATTTAGCATGCTGGACTACGATACAGAAAACCTGAACTCTGAAGAAATCTATAGCTCTTTGCGTGGAGTGACCGAAGCCATTGAGAAGTTTAGTTTTCGAAGCCAAGAGGATCTGAATGAGCCCATTAAAAGAGATGGCAGAAAGGACTGCGATATTGTGAGTATCCGCAGGCTGACGGAGGGAGGGCTGTGTGTAGTCGCCACCCAGAGTGGTAGGGATCTCTGTGTCCATCCAGGGATACTCCTGAACACTGAGCACTGGGGTTGCTGAACCCCAACATCGTTTTTATCTCACAGTTAGAATGGTATGATTTTAAGAGGCCCAGGGCAGCTTTGTGAAATTGCAGTAGCCCTCAGCTATCTTTCTGAAGAATGTTAACTGCCCTTTTCCTCAGCTGTCTTCCATTGTCCTGGGCATGTGTTTGTTCCTCTGATGTGGTACAAACGGTGAGCCTGTGCCCGACGCCGGTGTGGCGCTCCAGGCGCTGCCGTCTCCCGTAGAGGCAGGCAGAGTGGAGGAGACTGTGCTGGGGGGAGGAGCGATCAGGGCCGGTCTGGGTGCTCAGGATGCATCTGCAGAGGAGATGTCACCTTCCGAGCAGGGAGGTTGCGAGGTGCTTGTCAGGTCAAGGAGGAGGCCATAGTCCTAGAGAAGTCTGTGAGGAGGCAGAAGGATGGGGGTGGACTCAGGAGGATGTCCCTGGGGGTGGCGGCAGTGGGCATGGTGGGCTTGCCCCGGCCTGGGGGGGAGGAGCTGGCTTCTCTGGAGCTGACTGAAGACTCTGAAGGGTTTTTAACCAGGGAAGCGGCGTGGTCACACATACATCTTAGAAGGACTGCTGACACCCTGAGATGGAGTGTGACTCCAGGGGAAGTTGAGTTGGGTAGCGCATGAGCAGAAAGAGAAGAGCCAGAGTGTCTGGCAAGGACTGCTGAGGAGGCGCTGCTCCAACTCAGTAAGACAGTGGGGGCCGGGGAAAGGCATACGAGAACCCCTTTGGAACATGATGAAACGTTGACGCAAACAGCCGTTAGGCTTTCAGACACACCAGTCTGGCATTGAGGCTGGTGCTTTGGGCTGGTGGTGGAGGTTTGAGAGATAGTGACTAGTTGCCTGATGGTAACTAAAGAACAGCAAGTGAAATCAGCCAAGTGGAGGCAAGGACAAAATCCTAAGGAGCATCGGCACTAAGGGAAAGACAGAAAGAAAGAAGTCAAGAAGGACCAAAGATGAGCGGAGGGGAGTGTGGCATCGTGGGCTCTGAGGGGAACTTTCAGGAAGGACATTCCAGCCAAAAGGGTATCAAATTGATATAATGTACCAAGTTAAGAAAGTTAGATTTTGTTGTTAAATGTGATTAGTATTAGGAGTTTCACTTTCTTTTTTTAATGTCTGAAGTTTTAAAAACTCTTTTATAAATAATTTTTTCATTATATTAATAACGTATGTGTTACTTTTAGAAGAGAGTTACAAAGAGAAAAAAAATCATCTGGGACCTCTCTGGTGGAACAGTGGCTAAGACTCTGTGCTGCCAATGCAGGGGGCCGGGGCTCAGTCCCTGGTCGGGGAATGAGAGCCCGCAGGCCACAACTAAGATCTGGCACAGCCAAAATAAAATAATTAAAAAAAAAATTATCTACGAAACATCTTATACCAAGAGAAAACTCCTGTTCAGTCTTCTATGCATATATTTATAAATTCTTTTTTATCTTAATTGTTAGGACAAGATCTTTTGGGCAGGGTGTGTAAGAACCAGTGCATCCCAGCATTGGTTCTTCCAGGTGTATAGCTAAAGGAATTGAAAGCAAGAACTTGAACAGATGTTTGTGCACCAGTGTTCAGAGTGATGTCAGTCATAGTAGCACAAAGGTGGAAGCCATCCAAGTATCCATCAACAAATGAATGGATAAGCAAAATGCAATATGTACATGCAGTGGAGTACTGTTCAGCCATAAAAAGGAAAGTAATACTATGTATGTGTTAGAACATGAATGGACCTGGAAAACATCATGCTAGGTGAAATAAGCTAGATAGAGAAAGACAAATACTCTGTGATCCCACTTACATGAGGTGCCTAGAGTAGTCAGATTCATAGAGGCGGAAAGTACAACAGGGACGACAGGGCTGGAAGGGCCAGAGAGTTATTACTTAATGGGTCCAGAGTTTCGGTTGGGTAAGATGAAAAAGTTTTGCTCAAAATATGACATAGTGGTAATGCTTACACACCTTTGTGAATGTATTTAATGTCACTGAGTTAGACACTTAAGAATTAACTGATTTAAGTGATTTGACATATATGTCATATATACATACACACACAGTTCTTGTGTTTTTTTACTACAATTAAAAAAAAGCCATAAATGCATAGGCATAAAATGAGAGAGATGTATCTTGTCGACAAGCACAAATAAAAATTTTGCCCCAGGAATCACCAGTGCGGTTTGGCCACCTGGGAATGTTTGCTCCGCTGTTCTGTATTCACGCATCTGACCTGAGGAGAGGGACCGCTTTGCCCTCTCCACTGCAGTTAGCCACCCCTTCTCTGCTAACCTGCACAGGGTGCCAGACAGGCCAGCGGACTCAGAAGAGAGGACCCCCAGGAACGGAGGCGGTCAGAAACGTGACACGGGGGCCAGGGGACCAGAGGTTTATTAGTTTCAGACAAAACTCAGAATATATTAGGAAAGCATTTTCAGAACATATTACAGACCCGTTCTTTGACCAGCGTAAAGACCAGCTCTGAGGGTCAGAAGCACATGAGGGAGCAGCCATCTGCCTGGGGGAGGCCGAGTTCTCTGCAGGTCGAGATCTCACCCCTGTGGCGATACAGCGGGGGGCTCGCGGGTGGTGGACTGTAGTAGGAGTGGGGTCGTGCGCAGCCCCTAGCCCATGGCCGTCTGCCATGCCCTGCTCCCTGCACCCCGTTACCGGCAGCAGTCACTGCGAGGCCCCTGGCGGCTGCTCAGCCGCTGGTCAGTGCTGCAGTAGGCGCCTCCCCCAGGCAAGGACCTGAAGGTCAGTGACCTTCGGTGGCCCATTCAGCCAGCGGTCAGTGGGATGGTGATGGGCAGGTGAAGAGTGGATTCTGGCCTTCCCTCTCCGGGGCCCTCCAGCTCACCCGGCCTTGAGGCGAGCTAGGGAGTGGGGGCACCCAGGGGACATGCTGGGGGTTGTGTCCTTCAGGGCTCCAGAGCCCTCGTCAAGGCCACCCACTGGCTTGAGGCAGCCATGAACCTCTCCCCGTCCCCACCTCTGTGAGCTAGTGGTGGTGGGTGTCTGTGTAGGACGCAGTCTGCAGAACCTGGGCCCCACCATCTGGGGGCCCTGAGGGGCTGGAGGGCCAGTTGGATCCTGGGCTCCCTCAGTGACGTCCGCTGGACAGAGTCTGAGGGCCTGGCCCCGAGGGAGCCGCCAGCTGAGTTCTGCCTCCTCTGGGCAGGACCTGGACCTCAGGGGGTGGAGGCTGTGCCTTGGGACCTCGCCCTTTCTTGTCAGAACAGAGAATAGGGACTTCCCTGATGGTCCAGTGGCTAAGACTGCACTCTCAATGTAGGGGGGCCCCAGATTCTATCCCTGGTCAGGGAACTAAGAGTTAGAATGCTTCAGCTAAAGATCTTGCATCCCACAACTAGGACCTGATACAGCCAAATAAATAAATATTAAATTAAAAAAACAAACCAATAGCATTCACTTGGTGGAGATTTACAGGAATGTCATTACATGACTTGATCTCAAAAACAAAGGATTTGACCCCAACAAGTTTGCAATAACTAACCACACCCCCTCCCTCATCTTTCCTAGAAAAGAGGTTTGCTGAAAGCTTTGGGGAGTTTTGGGGGTTTTTAAGGCAGGAGCCACCCGTCTCCTTGCTTGGCCCTGCGGTAAACTTCCTCTGCTCCGGACCCTAGCATTTTGGTGGTGTTTGGCCTCACTGTACACCAGGCGCGTGGACCTGTGTTTTAGGGCCACTGTAGATCTCCAGAGGGTCATCAGGGGAGCGTCCATCCGTGGTGGTGTGGCAAGGTGTCAGTGAGAGAAAACCCTTCCTGTTGGTGGTAAAAGTGTCCCGCTGGGGCGTTGGCACCTGAGGTTCCTGGAGAACTGGGGGTTCCGGTATATAGCTTGCCTTCTCCAGGGGCTCCTCAGAAGTTCATGGCGCTAATCTCAAAAATATTTGTCCAATTAGTCATCCAGTACCAAGGAAAACAGACACTCTGTGTGAACTAAGGAATGGTTAGATGAGAACCTAAGTATGTTCTGTCCCTTTTGAGGCCACTTAGGAGTTAGATACTTACAAATGGAAACACTAACAACTGTACTTGTATCAGCAGCCAGATTTCAAGTGAGAAATCTCTGGCTCTGCTAATACTCGTGAAGATTTAAGGACGGAGGAACTGACAGTGTGCTGTGCCCCAGGTGTCCCGTGATGGTGGCATCGCCTCCCCTGCCCCCGAGGGCCGGGGCGGCAGCGAGGTGGTGGAAGGAGGCCGGACGGCTCTGGACAACAAGACCTCCCTCCTCAACACGCAGCCCCCTCGCGCCTTCCCGGGGCCGCGGGCGCGGGACTACAGCCCCTACCCCTACTCGGACACCATCAGCGCCTATGACAAGACCGCCCTGAAGGAGGCCGTGTTCGACGATGACATGGAGCAGCTGCGAGACGGTGAGCCTGGCCCGGCTCCGCGCCCGCCAGCAGCCCCGGGCGCACGGGGCATGTGGGGTGGGGCAGAGGCCTGCCTCGCTCTGCTGTCGGAGGTCCCGTCGTGTGCCCGGCTCCGCGCCCGCCGGCAGCCCCGGGCGCACAGGGCGCGTGGGGTGGGGCAGAGGCCCGCCTCGCTCTGCTGTCTGAGGTCCCATCGTGTGCCCGGCTCCGCGCCCGCCGGGCAGCCCCGGGCACACAGGGCACGTGGGGTGGGCAGAGGCCTGCCTCGCTCTGCTGTCTGAGGTCCCATCGTGTGCCCGGCTCCGCGCCCGGCCGGCAGCCCCTGGCGCACAGGGCGCGTGGGGTGAGGCAGAGGCCTGCCTCGCTCTGCTGTCTGAGGTCCCGTCGTGTGCCCGGGAGCAGGGGCACACGGAGGGCCTGCGGGAAAGGCTTTGTGAAGAGCCAGGCCTCCAGCTGGTGGTGATGAGCGCGGGCCGGGCAACGGGGAGACCCACCATTTGGCTTCTGGGGGGGCGTGTCCCCATCCTGGGCTGTGGCCAGGCATCCTGGAGCCCCGCAAGGAGACCGCCTGCTGGTCTCTTACGGTACTGGTCCTGTGGTTGGGGAAGGGATCTAATGTGCCCTGGGCACCTGCTGGCCATGTGCTGGCTGCTGAGATAGAGGGATCCTTCCCATTGTGCCAAGTAGGAACCTGAGGTTCAGAAAGGTGGAGATCCTCGCCCCAAGTAGAACATAACTGATACAGAACAGAACTGCTCTGGGTGTTTTTCTGACTCTTGTATTAAGACCAGTGTCCGTTATTGAGTAATGGGTGAGTGTGTGTTGGTAGGACAGTCATTTTACTTGGAACCTAGTTTTTCCTTTTTTCACCTCACTGTCATGTTCATATGTTTTAGCTAATTTTAATTAGTTTTTAAATTTTTTATATATGTATACTTTGTTTCCAAGCCTCTTATTTTATGTTATTTTTCAATTTTGAATGAAGACTTCAGTTAGAATCTTAAATCAGAATTCTAAATAGTTAGCATTCAGCAAAGGCCTACTGTGTGTCAGGAAGGGTGTGGCTTGCCAGGGACACAGAAATGAGTCTCAGCCCCTGGTCCCAGAGCTTAAGGCCTTTCCCCTTTCCCTTCAGGGGAAGCAGACTCATGGTGGTGGCAGGTGTGGAGGAGAGGGCCGTGTCACCAGTGGAGGCTGAGTTGGCGTGGAGGGGTGCAGGAAAGGAAGAAAGTGGCGCTGTCTGTGTGCCAAGCAGTGACCAAAAGCACAGGGAGCCCTGTCCAAAAGCACAGGCAGCTTCAGGGACGGGCGAGCGTGGCTGCCTGCTTGTGGATTGCTGCTTGCTGGTGGGAGCAGCTCAGCCTACCCAGCCGTCTGCTGGGCGGGAGGCTAGCAATGGAGGCCTTATTTGGGTTTGCACTTTCTGGGAGTCCTGGGCCGTTTCTCTTCTTTATTCATAGGATTGATACAGTGTTTCACTCACCAGTTGTCGGTCTTATTTAAGACAGACGAGGCGAGGATGTCAGATATAGTTTTTCCAGCAACTGTATGCTAAAAGACTTAAAGGACGAGGTGGGCTATCAGGAGAGACACGAAAGGGTTCTTTAAGACGTCAGCTTCCTCAGTGTTTGTTCTTCAGTCTTAGAAGGTCAGAAGCTTACGAGGAGTACACATTTAGGTTTCTAATGGTTTGTCTTTGTGTTTCATCATTCTGTTTAAAGTGAGTATTTAAGAGTATTGAGGGCTCTTAAAAGGACGCGTAAAGAGAGAGGATACGTTTCTCTGCTGCACAGACCGTGGTCAGGTCCCCACGGGCGTGACGCCGCATGATGTCGGCAGACCTTCAGTCTGTGATAGGTGGTCCGTGCGTTGCCTGGACGCTGTGGCCCACGTGTGTGTGCGCTGTGGGCGCTGGAGCAGGGGACGAGCATTGACGGCTCAGGTGTGGTGGTGCAGGAAGCCGTACGCATGGGGTCTGAGAGCAGTGAGGGTGCCCGAGGGGCCTGGCTGAGGCCGGGTGCAGGCAGTGGAGCTGGGAGGGCGGCCCGGAGGGGCTTTGGGGTTCTTGTTTGTCTGAAGTAGGCCGAGTGGAGGCGCGGCCCCTTTTCACATCTGTTTTCACCACTGAGCTGGTGAGGGCGCCTGCCGAGGGTGCGGAGTGAGGCCAGTGCCAAGGGCAGGGTGTGGGCGGCCCGTGGGGACCTCCCGGAGGCTGGGGAGCCGGGCGGGGTCCCGTCAGCGGGGCTGAGCGTCTGCCTTGTGTCCCCAAGTGCCCGTTGACCACTCGGACCTGGTGGCAGACCTCCTGAAGGAGCTGTCCAACCACAACGAGCGCGTGGAGGAGCGGAAGGGCGCGCTGCTGGAGCTGCTCAAGATCACGCGCGAGGACAGCCTGGGCGTCTGGGAGGAGCACTTCAAGACCATCCTGCTGCTGCTGCTCGAGACCCTCGGGGACAAGGATGTGAGCTGCCCGCCTTGCCGTCAGTCCCGGCGTCCTGGGGCCCCGGCTGCCCTCTTCTCCCTGCCGCCCTCCGGCCCCGGGCCCCGGCTGCCCTCCTCTCTCTGCCGCCCCGCTCTCCCAGGCCCTGGCTCCCTCCTCTCCCTGCCGCCCTCCGTCCCCGGGCCCCGGCTGCCCTCCTCTCCCTGCCGCCCTCCGTCCCCGGCCCCGGCTGCCCTCCTCTCTCTGCCGCCCTCCACACTCTGCCGCCCTCCGTCCCCGGGCCCTGGCTGCCCTCCTCTCTCTGCCACGCTCCGTCCCCGGGCCCCGGCTGCCCTCCTCTCTCCATGCTGCCCTCCTGTCCTGGGCCCGGGCTGCCCTCCTCTCTCTGCTGCCCCCCTGTCCCGGCCCAGATGCCCTTCTCTCTCTGCCACCCTCCATCCCTGGGCCCTAGCTGCCCTCCTCTCTCTGCCGCCCTCTGTCCCCAGGCCCCGGCTCCCTCCTCTCTCTGCCCCCCTGTCCCAGGCCCTGGCTGCCCTCCACTATCTGCCCCCCTGTCCCAGGCCCCGGCTGCCCTCCTCTCTCTGCTGCCCTCCGTCCCCGGGCCCCGGCTCCCTCCTCTCTCTGCCCCCCTGTCCCAGGCCCTGGCTGCCCTCCACTCTCTGCCCCCCTGTCCCGGCCGGCTGCCCTCCTCTCTCTGCCTCCCTCCACCCCCGGGCCCTAGATGCCCTCCACTCTCTGCCGCCCTCCGTCCCCGGGCCCCGGCTGCCCTCCTCTCTGTGCTGTGCTCCTGGTGACACCCAGACAGTTCTCAGGTTTTCTGAGCCTCAGTTAGTAAGGTGCTGTTCTTACTGGAGAGAAACCCCATCCTGGCTTCAATGCGGGGTTCTCTGTAATAGGCTCTGTAGTCGTTGAGGGAAACTTGTTCCTGCTTCAGGTCACTTTCACAAAATGTCTTAGGACTTTGTTAATGTAGAATGTGAAGTTTTTTTTTTTAATAATGGGCTTCTCTTCTCAAGAGTTTTCCTTATGTTTCCTGTGCAGCTGAGAAATGAGACCTTTGTTTTTGGAAGACCCACTAAATGCAGCCTTCCCTGGGGCTCCCTCTTGGTTCGCCATTGCATGTGTTAGTGGTTCCAGCAACAGATTCCAAAAGCAGAGATTATAACTGTTTTCTGTCATCCTCCATTGTTATTCTTAAAATAGAAAGCCTTCTCCACACTGTGACTTTTGAACATGACGAGCTGGGCTTTTGCACCTGGCCTGGTTCGTCCTCTGCACTTGGCACCTCTTAGATGACCCTTCCCGGGGTGAGCGCCCTGATCAGAGGCCACCCCCCCGCCATGTGTGGCTGCTGTCGGGTGGCAGCAGGAAGGCGTGTTGAGACTTCCCTGATTCACCTCTAGAAGTAAGAATCCATCTCTGTGCTCTGGGCTCCGGTAGGCCAGCAGACACACAACTTCAGGAAGCGTGGTGAGCGACCCAAGGACAGGACCAGACAGGTTTCGAGGCAGTTGGCCACAGCCGAGGGTCAAGGTCACGCCAGGGTCACACTGATGGCGACTTTAAGGGGAGACAGGTAAGCAGAGGCTGGTGAACGTCATGGTGACCCCACTGGCTCTCTGCTGCTTAGATTGAGTGGTTTGCCGTGGCGTAGGGCGAATAAAGGTGGAAGGACAGTGATGAAAGATCTGTCTTCGTTTTTCTTAAAACAAAGTACGTATTGGCTCCTGGAGTCCTTGTACTGGTCGGGCTCTGTCAGGACAGCAGCGATGTCATGGAAAGTGCAGGGGATGGTGTGTGAGCGTGTGGGCTGTGCAGGTGAGTGACAGAGAATCAGGATGTACCGTTTGGCTCTGTTTGGTGTAAACTCCATCCTCTTTTGTTGAGATTAGGCGTCTGTTTGGAATGGCTTTCCTCCAGACGCATGACTCGCGCTTTAAGCAGCTCTGCACAGGCTCCCCTCCCCCATGACCTGCTCACCTCGAAGGTCAGGAGTATCAGCAGATCTCCGCCGTCCTGGTAGGAAAGCCACTGTCTGCCAGGGCGGGTTGATGAGATGTGTAGGTCCTCCTCATCTGTTCTTTTGTGTGTTTTACAGATGTGTACCTACCCTTCAGAAAACCTGAAGTCCCCCGGGAGGTTGATACGAACTTAATCACCCTCATGCGGGCCTAGCTTGGCTCATTCGGGAAGCCGTCCAGGGTCCCTCATAGGTGCCGGGTCCCAGGGTGTGCCCGTGGGCACAGCGCCTGCCCTCGTGGAGCTGGCTGTCTGGGGAGCCTGTGTTCACCTTGCCTGGCATTCGTATCCTGGTGCCTGCAGGTGCCAAGAAGGCCCAGGCCTGGGACCTGGTGTCGGGCCCTGCTGACCGTGTGCGCAGGCGGGCACCAGAGCCGTTCGCTCATGTTTTCTTTCCTCTCGCCCCAGCATTCCATCCGAGCACTGGCTCTCAGAGTGTTGCGGGAAATCCTGAGAAACCAGCCAGCGAGGTTTAAAAACTACGCGGAGCTGACGATCATGAAGACCCTGGAGGCCCACAAAGACTCCCACAAGGAGGTGAGCCGGGTCCGGGTGCACACCCACCCCCACGTCCGTCTTGGTGTCTGAGCAGCGGCGCAGAGCCCGTGCCCCCGCAGGTGCCCACGGTCAGGCTCCCACTGCTGTCCAGCAGGCCGGTCCTGCCCCTGCAGTCAGGACCAGGGATGGACGCACGGCCAGCCTCTCTCCTCAGAGCCCTGCTGCCCTCGGTGGCTGTCGTCACATGTTGCCCGCAGGGGCATTAGGTGAGACGGGCACGTGCGGCTCTCTCCCTCCCTGGCAGTGTGCTCCTCTCTGGGGGCTCTGGGCCTGGTGGCAGCGCCGCCTGCTCCACCAGCTCCTGGTCGTGAGAAACTCACACTGCTGGGGTTCCCGCTCCTCAGGCCTGTCCCAGAACACGCGTTTCTGGGCTTGGACTTGTGTGTAGATGGTGGACAGTCCATGCATTGTCCAGTCACTTGTTGAACTGTCCCGGTACCTGTTATTCCCAGTCCTTGGAGTATCGAGAGGCCGCCAGAGAGTAGGGAGGTGAGCGGAGCTGTCCTAAATGAAAATGATTTCAGTGCCACTCTTCTCGTAAAGTTCACTGTGGACAGCAACCGTTTATTTAAAGGTTTAGGAAACTTGATGTGACACAATGGGTTTGACTCCTAAGTGAGACATAATCACGTGGTCAGTTCAGTCTTGGCTCCTGTGTGATTCTCGTGAGCACAGTCATGGATTAAAGGAATTGTGATTAGAACAGTTCTTATATTCACAGCAAGAATCAGACCCTAAATCGTGGAGTTTTTTCTGTTCAGCAGTTACGTGACTGCTGCTGAACAGAGACGGTCTGGCCTTCTCACATTCCTGCATGACTGCAGGCTCAGTGAGGCTGAGGCTGCTGCTCTGTCCAGGCATGTCTCCACCCAGCAGTCCTAGCAAAACACAGGGGTATAAGTGACAGGTGTGTGTGCAAACCACAAACGTACACTTCTGAAGTCTGGCTCAGTGGCCTGATGGTGATCATCATCACTCACATTTGAACAAAACACTTTGCACTTAAAATAACCGTTTTGAAACAGTGTAAAGACCAGATTAGCTGATGGCAGTCAACATAATTGTCAAGGACCAGAGAAGCTGACAGTGGTCAACATCATTGTTCCCAGGTGAGGAAGAGGGTCCAGGAGTTCCCATCCTTTGTCAGATGATGCACGCGTGGCAGCTTTTGGCAGAACCAAGATGCAAGCTAGGTCTTGTGTCTTTTTAAGAGGCAAACAGGCCCATGCTGACTTTTGTTGTAAACCATAACGGCCTCTCCTTAATGAGAATACATGATCAAAAAAAAATAAAATGGGTGATCTCTTACATGCATATGATATCAGTTGTTTTCAGAGGGGAGGACATAACTGAGAATGTGGCATTAAGGTGAAGCCCTGTGTGACAGCCACTGGCCATCCCCTTGGGAGATGTCTGTCTCCACAGTGGCTGTCCTGAGGCTAGCCTTCAGAACCTGGACAGTGGACCCTGACAGGCATATATTGCTGGTTACGTGAGGGGTTCTGGTTTTTTTCCCCTGCAAGACAAAAGGTAGAGAAGAGAAGGTTCTCAGCTGTGAAGTCTTTTAGATTGCCTGAGGGACACAAGCAGAAAATACCTGCTGCCTGAAGCAAATTTAGCAGCACTTGGTTGTGTGGAATTCTTGTGACCCAGGGTCTCCGGCAGCTGTCGCTGATTTCCTGATGAGGCAGGTAGAGGAAACACCGTGTCCTGAGAGGAGTGCCGTTGCTGGCAGGCCTCCCTGCTTTGCGTACCTGCAGACTCACCTTGACGTGCTGCCTGTGTCCTTTCCCTTAGGAAGCTCCACGCTGTCACTTTGCCAGAAACTCCTAACTTGGGCACCTTGTGTGTTTCTGTTGGCATATGAAATTAACATCACACACAGTATTTCTCTAGTTATTATATTTTCTCACCAGTACATTCAAACGTTTATTCAAACATCATTCTCATATTTATTGGAAAGGATCCAAGGTGTTTCTAGACCCAGTTACTAGTCAGACAGAGCCCAAGTCTCTTACTGTCCAATTGGCGCTTCCAAAGTGTGCTCATCCTGGGCCGTAGCTCCTGGAACCTCCTCCATAAGAGGCTAGTTTTGTGTTCACAGGAGATGAAGGAGATAGACTGGTGGGTTGATGAGGAGCTGCTGTGGCAGGGCCCTGGCATGATGCATACTAGATCTAGCTGTGGGGCTGTAGCATGAAGGCCTTCTTGAAATACGGTTTCTAATAGGCTGAAACATGTCATAAAGCCTTTAGGGAAGATGCTTAAAGCAGGGCTGCTAAATTGTCTTTTTTCCCCGATAAGCTGAGGGCGGTGTTCTGAGGGTCTTTAGCAAGAGGAGCTATGTGTGCAAAACACTATCACACTGAAACATACCAGGCACTACATCTGTCTCATCCTGACTCATCCTAAGCTAACATAGACATTTTACAATAAGCACGATAGAGGATTTGGGGACCAATTTAGAGTTTTTGTTTAAAAAGTGGGTGTTTGTTAGGTTAAGTATGTTTTCATATTCCCTATCTGAATGCATAGATTTCTTAAATTATCTAACTCTGTGTTTTTATCTTTTTAGTAAATTTGCTGTTGCGTTTCAATAGCTCAATAATGAAGTTACTGTGGTTTGCAGTGGTGTTCGCTTTTTAGCAAACACCTTAGTGGGTGAAGGCCTTGATAGCGACCTTTTAAGATCCTATGCACACTTTCTGTTTTTCAAAAAAAACTCCATTAACTTCAGTGCTTCTTATCTTAGAACTTGTAATCCGTCTCTTAGGGCTGGTACCGAATCTGTCCATCAATGATTAAGAGAGGATTTAGATCTGATATGAGCATTGATACTATGAATCGTTTCTGGGGTCAGTGGGAGCACAAATATAGAGATGGAAAGCCGAGTTTTCCATGCAGCATCCGGCCTCCAGCCGTGCTGCCTGCCTGATTCCCACTGTATAGTGTGGCTGCCGAACACGCCGCAGAATCAGATACGGGACGTGAAGGCTCGTGTCTTGACACTGTCAGACGCGGTATAACTTTGCTTCCTAAAGCCGTCTTCAGACGTCTGTATCGTCTGAGAGGCAGACAGCTGGTGTACTAGTTGTTAATCACTTTATACACATTTAATGTAAGAATAGCCATTGCTCCCAGACTCCGTGGCTTACATGCGGCAGCCAGAGTGTTGGGGTCCTCTGTCAGAGTTCTGTTTGAACTTTAGAGAAGCACCAGCTCTCTTTCTTTGAAGATATTCTATTGGGCCATAACATTTGCCAACACAGTATACTTTGACTATTAGGCTTTGCTTTCACCGACCTCGGCCACGTAGTGAATATTCAATTACATTTGCCTGTTAAAAGAGAGAAATATCAGCTTCATTCTGTGTCACTCTGTGGGGTCACCAGACCTTGTTTGCCCCACAGAAGTCTTGGTGCTTAAGGCATCAGAATCCAGCCTCAGGTGGTTTGGCTTGTTTGGGGAAGTTTGATTCTTAAATAAATATAAAACAACCACTGTTATGTCTCTCTGGGGTTTTATTTTGAAATCATTTCTAGTTAATTTAATGTTTTAAGATTGCAGAGAATTAAAAAAGCTAAACCAGACTATATTTTTAAAATGGAACTTTTCAGGACCTCTTGGCAAATAGCATGGCCTGTGCAAAGCAGTGGTGTGTCAGAGAGAAAGCACTTTAGTGATGATCTGATATTCTGCTTCAGATCCCAGTCAAAGTCATTCTAGCCAAGGCTTCACCAAATCCTTGGCTCTGGAATGGCCCTTAGAAGCTTCTTGGGGTAGCGGCCATGTGTCAGCGGGTTCTGGCGAACAGTGCATTGTGTGAGTGTGGAGAGATTACTTCACTTCTCTGGACCTTGGTTTTCCTAATCTGTTAGCCCAGGGAGTGGGCTGCACGGTTATCTGCGTGTCATCTGGCCTCAAGATAATAGAGGCTGCTATTGAATAACAAGCCTAAACCTTCCTAGATTCCAAATCTCCAGTTTTCTTTGGGCCCAGTCTTGGCATGTGGCCAGAAGCCCTATTTCCTTTGTAACTTTTAGCCTTGTAACAAAAAGACAAAACCAGAAACCTATATAGTCGTTTAAAGGGTCAAAGTTGCTGAGCCAGTTTGACACTCATAGCACAAACTCTGGTAAATGTTTTATGACTGGAGGCACAGGGGAGGGGGGTTGGGGCGTGTTTTAGACTTCAGGGAGCTTACGGTTTAGTTCAGGCTAGAGCAGAGGGGTCCAGGGGGAAGCGCTCTGGGAGTCTGGGGTGCACTGGGAGGGCGCTGACGACATGAGTCAGGCAGCGGGCCGGGGGGACGTGTCTGGGCCGGGTCTGCTGCACCATCATGGCCCCAGGCGTGGCCGCGACTTGCCAGGCACAGGCTCCAGCCCTGAGAGACAGCAGCCGTTGCCCCACAGTTACTCAGGGCAAGGAGACACGGCCCCTCCTCTCTGGTGATCTACCTCCTAGGAGCCAGATATGACACCTGCCCTTTACTTCCATAGCCTCAGAAAGGGTGTCTTACCGAGAGAGAGAACTTGTCTGGAGAAAGCAGTCAAGTGGTTTGGTGTAGGGCAAATTAAGGTTGAAGGATGGTGATGAAAGATCTGTTTAACATCAGAGCTTTGGGGTCTGGAGACTTGTCCTCATCCTGCGTTGACCAGTTGGTTAGTTGAGTAGCTGGGGATGGGTCTCAGCCTCCTGAGCGTCGAAGCGCCAGCACTCGAGGTGAACTGGGGCCGTGGGACGCCTGCCCCTCGTAGGGCTGACGTTCATGTCAAGGGAATGAGGAGGCTAAGGCTGTTGAAAACTGCAGACATGGTCCTTTTAATCCTCTTCAACTGAAGTAGGTAGACGGGTTCTGAATAGAATTGTGGTTGGGGTTTTCCTGTTTTATGTAAACCAGAAATCACTGCATTTCTTGAAATACATGTCGGAAGGCTATTGAAATTTGGGTGAATTAACTGTGGGCTGTGTGTGTTGGGCTCCCAGCTGGGCTCCCACACTGGTTGACTCGGTGTCCACACTGGAGTGGCCATCATACTCCTGCGTTTGAGGCCAGGAAATACCAGGAGTTGACGGGTTTGGGGAGATGCAGAGGAGCCTTCTCTGTGCTGCCTGTCTTCCGCCTCCTTGACTCCTCTAGGGACCAGCCAGCCCAGCGCTCCTGGCATCCTCCAGGGTGGCAGACACAGCCACCTCCTGGGTGTCCAGCCCCTCTGACTCCACAGTGTTGTTCCCTGTTGGCTGTGATTCCACCGCTTGAGGTGGGACAGAGTGCATCTCCACCTCAGAGCCTTACCACGCTTGAGACGGTGTTGCGCTCAATCTGCCCCTGGAGGGGAGAGTGTGATGCTGTGTGGTTAGAGACTGTTTGATGTAGACTCTGCCTTTTGAAATCATGCATGTGCATTTTCAAGAGAAAGTACTGTCTAGGTAGGGTAGGGAGATAAAGTGTCGCCATCCAAACTGCTGTCGGCGTACTAGATTCAGCCCCCCCCCCCTTCATTTTACTTACGAGGGAAGCAGGCGCAGACAGTATGAGAAGCACCCCTCAGCTTCACCTCATTGGCCACAGAGCTAGGTCCCCGAGCTTGGACCCTGAAGTTTTTTCCTTCCCGCCCTCCCTCTGGGGCCAGGCCTGACAGACGGGGACTTGCATGCTGGGTTCAGGTCCCTGGTGGTGACCATCTCACCAGAGAGACTGCCTCCCCACCATGGTGGGCACACAACCCCATCATCCTGCCTGTTTTGTGAGGTCTTCCCGGCTTTCCCCAGAAGGTGGCGCCAGCGTCTCCCTTAGCTTTTAAATGCCTGGGGCTGAACTAGGTGTACCTTGGAGAAGGAAATGGCAATGTACTCCAGTATCCTTGCCTGGAGAAGCCCTGGCAGGCTCCTCTGTCCACGGGGGTCGCAAGGGTCAGATCCGGCTTAGTGAGTAAAGTACTGCCGCTAACTGGGTGTACCTGCTTGTCGTCATTTCTGAACAGTTGCTTGCTTGTTCGTGGTAGTCGGCCAGCTACGCTGCCATGCCTGTGACAGAGCGCAGCCAGTCTTTGTGAACCTAAAGCACGCACTTCAAACTGGGACAGTTCTGTGCTCTCAAAGAAACCTTATCTTTAAGCAAACATTCATCAATATTCTGAGTAATGATCTCATTTTTTAAAAAGTTAGATGAGGAAATTATGCTTTTCCGAGCTAGACACTGTTAATTCACTGACTTTGAAAAAGAAGAATCCTGTGTTTCTACCAGACTGCAGAAAAATCAGCAGAACTGAAACTGTTTTGGTCACTTGGGGTTGGTAATGACCCAGAAGTCTGCCTGACCCCGCTCTCTCTCATCGCCTTCACCGTCTCTGAGAACTCGTTTGCCCCTCTGGCCCCCACGTCTGCCAAAGAGCGCTCTCCTCCTCCTCTCTGTCACCCATGTTTACTTTGCTCTCTGCTTGCTTACATTTATAATCTTTGCTTCTTATGTTACATAGAACACAGGGGTGAAACTTAAAGTTCACCCTGCATCAGGCAGCCGGCCAGCAGCCGGGAGCCTGGCATGCAGAGGGAAGTCGAGCAGCAATCCCCTGTGCCAAAAACAGCGTCTGCCTTGGGAAACTCGCCGCCACCTCCGTGAAGGGGGCCTCAGATGGACCTCCTCGAAGTGCAGCTTCTGGCATTTTCTTTTTAGGCATTTTCAGAAAACCTATGTTTGATTAAATGCTTCCTGCAAGCAACTTCAAGAATTCCTGAGTTTTATCAGAGGAAGTTCTCCTTGGGCTCAGGTTTCAGCTCCACATACCCAAGCCGGTCTGTTCCCCAGCAGCTCCCTGCAGCTTAACGCCCGTGACCTGGATGAGAGTGAAGCCTGGAGAGGCTGGTGGGGAGGAGAAAACCCTCGCGAGAGAGCCTCACCGGAAACCTGGCCATTTATCTCCCTGTCCGGTCGGTGCCCTTTGCATCCCTGAGGGGCGCCGGGAGGTTTCTGCTTTACTCCTGTCGAGACTCAAGTGCGGCCGCCAGGACTTCTTCCCGGTCCTGTGCCCTCCTGCCCACCCGGCTCTCTCCCCGTCTTGGTGGTCTCTTACATTGCTCTACATCAGTGTTTTCCATTTTGGGATACGATCAATGAAATCACCCAATATTTTCTGACCCTTGCATTTTTTTCTCCCCCCATGTTTAAAAACTAAGACCTCAGATTTCACCAGTTAGTATTACTCAGTTTTCTGACCAGTGTCTTGTGACACCTATACACAGTGATTTCTTACAGTTGAAGGGCATTGGTGTCCCACTACAGGGCCAAATTAGAGAAGGGATGGACCCCTCTTCCACGATCTGCCTAGCTGTGTGTCACCGGCCAAACACGTGGCTTACCCAAGTATGCCGTGGACGGACCACAGTCCTCAGACACACATGAGCTGAGGAAGAAGAAGAGCGCTTCATCTAGTGATTGCTGCATGATGGGGCCCTTCTAACGATACGCTGTTGTTCTCCAAACAGACCAATCACTGGCGAAACCTAACCTGAACTCAAGTCTCTTTTCCAAAGGACAGATCTGTTGCCCTTTCATTGTGTCACCCAGGATGGACCTTCTAGGCCTTGTACGTTTGATTTCCCCAAAGCCCAACTTGGTCCTCTGGAGATCTCTTGACTTCCTCCTCCTTTTCTGGGCCAGCTCCTCCGTTGGAACATGTAAATGCAGATCAGCAAGGCACGCCCTCGAGCTGACTGCCAGTCATGAACATTTACACACACACACAAACACACACACATGCATGCTGTGGGAAAATGAGTTGGACCAACATTTATTGAGCTCTTAGTGCATAATGGACACTGTTGGGCACGGGAGACAGAAGGTGGCTGAGATGGGAACTGACCCCAAGGAGCCCTTAGTCTCGTTGGGGAGACTGTGTCATCAAAGCATGTAAGTGCAGTGGTCACGGTGCACTGGGGGCTTCTGGTGAGGTGAGTGCATCCTGCCGGCCAAGTGACGAGCATAGGTGAGCAGCAGTGAGAAAAAGTGAAGGGAGCAGCCTGGGCACTTAAGTGGCTGGCAAGGCTCTGGCTTGCCCCACTTCCTTCCATCTGCTCCTGGCCAACTGGAAGGTAGCAGACCCCACCCTGGGGACCCCGCCTGCTTCTGTGGCCTCGCTTGCTGCCTCCTGAACCTTTGCATCCTCGTGCAGCCCCTCCACGCAGACCACCCACCTTGCCCAGCACCACTTTTGCCTCTGAGGCCTGTGCTCAGCTCAGCCGCTGCCACCCAGGAATGCGTGAACACATGAATGCACACAGGTTGGGGAAGGATAGTAGGAAGAAATTAACCATGGCTATAAAGTTTCTAAGGATCTTATGAGCTGGAGTGCAGAATGTGACTCTTTTAGAGTAAGGTTACCTCTCTGCCCCTGTTCCTCCGGCTGACCCTGTTGGCGTGAAAGCGTAGCCAGGGGTGGCGGTGGTGGCAGGGGGTTTCCAGCACTAAGCGCAGCGTGCCTGTCGCTTGGCCTTTGAAGTGTGTGTTGTGGTGTGGAGCTCGCTCACCTGGGGGCATGTTTCAGGTGGTGAGGGCTGCCGAGGAGGCTGCATCCACGCTGGCCAGTTCCATCCACCCAGAGCAGTGCATCAAAGTGCTGTGCCCCATCGTCCAGACAGCCGACTACCCCATCAACCTGGCCGCCATCAAGATGCAGACCAAAGTCGTCGAGAGGATCGCCAAGGAGTCCTTGCTGCAGCTCCTCGCAGACATCATCCCAGGCCTGCTGCAGGTGAGCCCCTCGTGGCGGCCTGGCCGCCCAGCACACGGGATGGGCGTGGTCTCTCCTGGCCCACCATCCCTGAACGCAGAGGAAGTTCTTCCAGGCAGCCCAGACCTGGGGCCCACAGAATGAACCTTCTGTTTACTGTGAACATGTTTTGATCTTTCTTTGTTCATTCCTTACTGCATGGCTGATGGGCCCAGCCCTGGGCAGGGTGAGCTGTGGAACCCAACATCAAACATGGTCCTTGTCCTAATCTGGCCAACAAATAGTAATTGAAACCCTTATAAGCGTGAGGCATTGAGTTAAATAGACTCTGGAAGGCAAGGTGCCTTCTGCTGGGAGCCTGCTTCAAGGAGTTGACAGCCCTCTCTGGGGCTTGGTACTCCTGTACCAACAGCTGCAGGTCAGGGCTGGTGCTGTGTGCTGAGTTACTGGGGTGGATGTGGGTGGTTCTGAGATCTGGGTGGAGGCTGATCTCTAGGTCGAGGGCTCAGAGAAGAGGTGGTTTAGACTTGGGCCCTAGAGAGAAATTTCAGTGAAGAAGGGTAGACAGACATTGGCTTTACACTTAATAAACACTGCTGTTTGCTGAGCACGGGGCTCAGGACTTGCAAACACACACAGCCGAGGGCTGGATCATCCCAGGCGGAGGGAAAGGTAGAAAGTCCGAAAGGTACCAGAGGCGGCTTGGAGAGAAGCGGACGGTCCCGTCTGTGTTTGGGGAGGGAGGAGCTAGGCTGTGGGCCAGCTGGAGAGGGGTATGGAGGTCTGCCCCATTGCAGGACGATCCACGGACAGTGGGGAGTTTTATCCACAGAGTGAGCGACCTAGTTCTCATTTCTTTAAAGGGGTTTGCACATGTGAGGTTTGCTTTACCATGGTGAGAAGAAGTCACTTACTTTCCCCCTTAATTTCCTTTTCTCAGTCTCTTCTCTCACACGTCTTGGCTGGTGCTGCCAGTGTATTTTGGCAGCTCACGATACAGCATCGTTCTCTGTGGAGGAGACAAACTCACCAGCCTCCTGCCTGCCACCCCAAAACCAGCTCACTCTTGACACTATTGCATGTGGCCTCTTTGGGGCCAGAGCTCTCGGGGTTCATCGGCAGAGCCAAGGGGCATCCAGACGGCTCCCGGCAAGGCCAAGGTTGAAGTGTGAGAGTGTGGAAGCATTGATGCAGTGCCATCAGTCGGACAGAGCTTTGATCTCGCTTTCCTCTCTGTGTCCCTCTGACTGCAGGGTTACGACAACACCGAAAGCAGCGTGCGCAAGGCCAGTGTGTTTTGCTTAGTAGCAATTTATTCCGTAATCGGAGAAGAGCTGAAACCTCACCTGGCACAGCTTACGGGGAGCAAGGTATGTATAGTGTTACACGGCTGGGTCGTGCACCTGGGCCTCCCAGTGTGTCCCAGACCCGCTGCCCTGCAGTTCTGGGCTGCAGACAGACTTTCTCAGCGTGTGTGAGCGCGCTGGGCCTTATTCTCCAGGGGCGTGTCTCTAAAGACAAAGTGAACAGTTGTGTAGTGAATTCACCAAGGTACGACGCAGTCCACTGTCACTCCTGTTTTTAACATGATAGTTTTGAACTTATTTATCCCCAAAAGGAAGATGACTTTGTTTAGAAGCCAGCTTGTTTTCTCTCTCTGAAACACTAAGGACGTTTGCCTGCTGGCTTCACACCTGTCTGGGGGGGCTTCGGGTCCCGTGGGTCAGTGTAACGATGGCTGCCTGCCACTGTGCCCAGCACGTCCCGTGTTCACGATGGCACCTCTGCGGGGTGAGGATGCTGATCCTGCATGCGACCCACCTGAGGGCCCATGGTGGTCATACTGCCTCTTGTTCCTTCTAGAATCGGGCAGAAAATGAGACAAAGGGACTATTGGCTCATGGAAGATGAGAGTGACTGGAGTGCTTGCTGGTTTAAAAATAAACTCAAATCTGATGAACTCGCTGGGGAGAGAGGATAGCCACCCTTGATCTCAGGCAGGAGGGGCCAGGAGCTGGGCCGTGGTGAGGCCCCTGCCCCAGGGACTGCCTGGGGAAAATGTGTCACCAGAGTTATGGGGGGCCCCGGCAGGGGTGTGAATACAAACGCATGGAGCCTGAAATTTCTGGCCTTCCTCCTTAGCCAAGAAGGAAGCAGCAGGTGAAGCCTCGTGGCTTTTCAAGCAGGCCTGTTCCTTTGGCACAGTTGATGAGTGTCTCCACTCGCTGAGCTTGGGGCAAAGCTGGCTCTCCCACCCTTGTCCAGAGCAGGGCTCGCACCCTCAGTGCTGCCAACACTTTGGGGCACTTTGTGGTGGGGGCACCATCCCTGAGGTCCCAAGCGCACCCCACCCGCAGCTGATGTCCCCACACCTGGTCAGGTGTCCCTTTGGGACAGAGTCAGCCTTGGTAGAGAGCCACTGGTCCAGAAGAAGATGCATCAGCAACTGGGCTGGAAGGTCTGAGCAGAGCAGGTGTGGTGGGCGCTGCTTCCCCGGGATCCGTTTTCCGTGCTCTCCCTCCCATCACTGCTCCTGCAGAGGTGCGTGCCCGGCCCTCCCTGACCACGGCCTGCAGGGCGATGAGCCGAGAGTGCCCAGCAGTGGGCGGGCCAGGAGCACCTGCCTCTGCTGCTGCCCTCAGGGGTCCACAGCTGCTCCAGGGCAGCAGTGGGGCCCTCACAGATAGTCTTCACAAAGGGAATAATGTTTTCCAGATCTCGGTTTTCTGGTCCTTTCTACCCTCGGGAGTAAGGGGGCTGTCCTGTCATCTCACTTGACCCCGCTACCGAGGGGCTGAGAAAAGGCAGGCGTCTTACCCCTGTGCTCTGGTTGACCTGTTGCCCCTTGGCAACGGTGGCGTAGGGTCTGGAGCCCAGTCCTGCTCAGAGCCAGTGTTCCCACCTCCCCACCGATGACATCAGTCACCCTGCAGTGCTGAGGGAGGCTGACCTGACACCTGTCCGCAGCGCAGCTCTTCCGGTCTTGACGGTTTTTATATGTGACAGCTCCGACGTGTTAACGTGAACTTTGTAAGACTCCAATGCACATCTCCTAAAACAAACACCCCCTCCCACCCACACCCCCAGCACAGGCAGCTGACAGCATGTGGTGCTAATTCAGAAACAGAATCAAGCCGTGGCTTCCTGTTTCTGTCCCCAGGCCTGGCAGAACCCCCTTCTGCTACTTAAATGAAGTTGATAAGTGACATCGGGCTCTATGGAGGAAGGCAGGATGCAGGGTTGGAGTGGGGGGGCTTGTGAGATGCACCTTGAAAAGTGGCCCATTGCCGTGGCAGCAATACCAGCTTTGGGATCAGAAAACCTGCTTTCTAGTCTCCATCTCCCACTCACTAGCCATGTGACTGTGAGCAGCCTTTCCTTTCCACTTCTCGCTCTTGGTAAAATACATGTAACATGAAATCTACTGTCTTAACCACGCGTTAGTGTGCGGTTCACAGACACCAAGTGTTCATATGATTCATGTTCATCCCCACCATTCATCTCCAGAGCACTTTTCATCTTGGAAAACTGAAATCCATTAAATAATATTCCCCAGTTCCCCAGTCCCTGGCAGCCACCATTCTGCTCTCTCTGGTGTGAATACTGGCACGTGGAATCCTGCAGTGTTTGTCTGTCTGTGACTGGTGTATCTCAGTTTGCTTCACCCGTGGTGTAGCAGGTATCAGAATTTCCTCTCATTTTAAGGCTGGACGATAGCCCAGCGAATGTACATGATGGCTGCTGCTCGTCCTTTTCTTGGTGACAGCCTTGTAGAGGCTGGACGATGGCCCAGCGAATGTACATGATGGCTGCTGCTCGTCCTTTTCTTGGTGACAGCCTTGTAGAGGCTGGACGATGGCCCAGCGAATGTACATGATGGCTGCTGCTCGTCCTTTTCTTGGTGACAGCCTTGTAGAGGCTGGACGATGGCCCAGCGAATGTACATGATGGCTGCTGCTCGTCCTTTTCTTGGTGACAGCCTTGTAGAGGCTGGACGATGGCCCAGCGAATGTACATGATGGCTGCTGCTCGTCCTTTTCTTGGTGACAGCCTTGTAGAGGCTGGACGATGGCCCAGCGAATGTACATGATGGCTGCTGCTCGTCCTTTTCTTGGTGACAGCCTTGTAGATCGCTTCCATGCTTTGCTTTTGTGAGCATGGGGCACAGATGTCCTTTGAGACCCCACTTTTAATTCTTTTGGGTTTTTGAGTTGAATTGCAGGATCATACGAAAACTGCCAGCTGCACCGTCTTAGACCCCCACCAGCAATGCCCGGGGTTTTAGTGTCTCCACATTCACTTGTTCTCTCCTCTTCTCTTTGGCAGCAGTCCTCATGGCTGCTCTGAGGCAGTGTTTCACTGTAGTTTTGCTTTGCATTTCCCTGATGATCCATGATGTTGAGCATCTTTTTTTTTTTTTTTTTTGAGCATCTTTTCATATGCTTGTTGGCCAGTTGCATATCTTCTTCAGAGAAATGTCTATTCTAGTCCTTTGTCATTTTTAAATTATGTTGCTTGGTTTTGTTGTTGTTGATGTTATTGTTGAATTAACAGACATTCTATCCATATTCTGGATATTAACCCCTTGACCTTTGATGCACAACTTTTTTTAATTTTTGTGAAATCCAATTTGTTATTTTTTTGCCTCTGCTTTTGCTGTCATATCAATAATCATTGCCAAATCCATAGTAAAGCTTTTGCCCTTTGTTTTCTTCTAATAGTTTTATAGTTTTAGCTTTTAATGTAGGTCTCTGATCCATTTTGAGTTAATTTTTGTGTATGGTATTAGGTAAGGGTCCAACTTCATTCTTTTGTGTGTGGATATTCAGCTTTCCCAGTTCCGTTTGTTGAAAAGACTTTGTTTCTCCAGAGAACCGCATTGGGATTTTGATAAGGATTCCATTGAATGTATAGATAGCTTTGGGTAGTTTTGACTTCATAATATTGTCTTCCAACCAATGAGCATGGGATGTCTTTTTTTTTTTTTAACCTCTATACATAATGAGTTTTTAATTTTTAATTGAGATAAAAATGAACATATGAAATTGTTTTGGGTGTACAGCATAATTGATATTTATTTATACTGCAATATGATCACCCAGTAAGTGTAGGTAACATCTGTCACACACATAGCTACATGATTTTTTTTCTTGTGATGACAGATTTTAAGATCTACTCTGTTAGTGACATCTATATGTTCAGTACAGTATTTTTACTATAGTTAGCGTACTGTGTAGCACATGGAGTGTTTCTTTGTGTTTTTACTTTCAGTAAAATGTGGTAGTTTTTATTGTACAGTACTTTCACTTCCTTGTGTTAATTCCTAAGTGTTGTATTCTTTTTGCTACTATTGTGAACGGAATTGTTTTTCTCTGCTTCCTTTTTGGAGTTTTCATTTTTAGTGTACAGAAGTGCAGTTGATTTTTGCTCATTGATTTTGTAGTCTGCTAGTTTGCTGAATTTCTTTATTAGTCTTAACAATTTTTTGTGGAATCTTTTAGATTTTATACATAGATCCCAGCCATCTCTTGGCATCCCACAGAGATGAGTTTCAGGACCTGCCACAGATAGTTCTGCATCTGGGATTTTCAGCTGAGCACGGATTGTGTCGTGCTGGGTGTGTTGAAAAACATCCATGTATAAGTGCATCTTCATAGTTCAAACCCGTGTTGCTCAAGGTCAACTGTATGTCATCTTAGAACAGAGATAATTTTGCTTCTTCCTTTCCGATGTGAATGCCTTTCTTTTCGTTTCCTGCCTAATTGCTCTGGCTGGAACTTACTATGTTAATAGAAATGGTGAAAGCAAGCATCCTCTGCCTTGTTCCTCATCTTAAGAGCAGAGTTGTCAGTCTTTTACCACTGAGCGTAATATTCACTGTGTGAGTCTCATATATAGCTCTTGATACATTGAGGTACAGACATAGAGATGCTATGGATTTGGTTCCAGCCAGCTGAAATAAAGCAAGTATTGCAATAAAGTAGATTGCACAAATTTTTTGGTTTCCCAGGGTGTATTAAAGTTATGTGTGTACTATACTGCAGTCTGTTAAGAGTTCAGTAGCATTATGTCTAAAAATATCAATATCTTAACAGAAATGCTAGCCATCATCTGAGCTTTCAGTGAGTCATAATCATTCTGCTTGTGGAAGATCTGGCCTCTATGTTGATGGCTGCCAACTAATCAGGGTGGTGGTTGCTGAAGGTTGTAGTGACTGTGTCTTATTTTAAGACAACAATGAAGTTTGCCGAATTGATTGACTCTTCTTTCACAAACAGTTTCTCTGTAGCAGCAATACTGTTTAATAGTATTTTATACACAGTAGAAAAATTGAAGGCAGTCTTCTCAAACCTGCCTCTGTTTAATCAGC